TACTAAAGACAAAGCAGAAATAAACAAGAATCTGTTGTTTTGGCTCAGATACCTGCAGAACCATGAGATTGTAGCATTAAGTCTTATCTTACCTATCTTGATTTTTAAAACACAATTAAATCCTGGAGAGAAGCTGGCTCCCACCATGTGATTTAAAGATGCTACATGGTTATGTAAGGAGATGTCTATTGGAAAAGCTGATTTAGGCTATGGTTTCCAGAAACTTGGTAAAATAAAAGGAGTCCTCAGAAACCAATGCCAGTGATTACTGGTTTTTAAGTAACAGATCTTGGTTTTACCTATTCAATCCAGCTAGTGCCTGCAGAATTGTAGTAACAGCATTTTGCTGTAGGAAATGTTCAAAAAGAAAAAAAATAGATTTTCCTAAATACATTAATCAATAGAGTACTAAAAGAATGTAGTAGTCTAAGCAAATGTGTTCTCAAAATACTTTTGACTTCTACTTTATTGTATTTCTTCATTCAGTGTATGTCATTATAAAATCGAGATAGAGATGGAAAAAAAGTAAGTTAAAAGAAAGCCAGAGCATTGCGTATGAGCATGTAATACATTTCTAAGTTTCTGGCACTTAGTTCAGTTTGCTTTACTTTAGCATTCCATATAACTTGGAATGATTACAGAAGTTGAATATTGACTTCTTTTATCATTGAGATAATAACATCCATAGTAGGATGCTATCAACAGCTTTAACATAAAAAAGTTAGTATCTGTTGCTAGCATATAGGAATTCGTAACACCAAACTGGTGTAATTAAAAAATGTATTTATTAGACTTTAGAAAAAATTAATTCCCATTATCTCTAAAAGATGCTCATTGCTATCTTACTGCATTACCGGAATCCTGAGGGAGTGTTGGACAGCTATGGAGGGGAAAGGTTATTACAGATTGCTAGGTCTTGTTACAGGACTGACTGCTGCTAAATGATGATTCATTGATGCTGCTAGGCTGATGTCCACGTCACAAAATCAGCCTTTCTATCTACCATAAATGATAGTAACATGGCAGAAGACAGTGATGAGTCTGCATGGACAAAACAATACTTCTGCTCAGATATAGTATTCCTCAGCTGGAGTTATTAATTCAAGCTGTGCTGTACTCTGGCCTAAGGGCAGGTTTCAGAATCAGTTTCCCTCCAGTCTAGTGCCTTGCTCAAGTCCCAGATCTGCTCCTTTGTTGTCCTTTTTTCAAAGTTTTATGGCAGTAGCTCCTAGCCTTGAAATCATGGCCATAAAGTGGTGCTAGAAAGCATGTTGTGGGGATTTCCATATAAAAGCTGTTGAAATCTTTGATAGTGTGTTCAATTTCTATTTGTAAAAATAATCTGTAAAGTATAAATTTCTGTGTGATCCTGTTTACTGTGTAACATTGAGAACATGAGAGCATTAGCATTTTTTGATAAAATGATACTTGAGAATATAACATTCTAGAGAATTTACATGCAATAAATAGAATTCTAGAGAATTTACATACAATTGCAAACATACAATTGGCTTTGTTTATATATGACAGTAATTTTTTTTCCAGAGTGGCTGATGTTATAATCTAGTGGCAATTTACAGGGTGAAAGGTAGAGCAAACAATGTCTTTGCTTCAAACTGCAAAAGAAACTCACATGCAACTTTTAGGAGTTCAAGGAAATAAAACTTAATGAACTAATTCAATGATATGATAGTTATGCATAATAAAGCTTTCTGAAGATCTTTCTCTCAGACAATCTAGGACTCATAGACATCCTGTGGGATGCACATCAAAAAATACCTTTATTTAATCTCCTCTGCAGAGCAGAACCATATTTCTTTATTTCCTCCTATTCACCATCCCGCTTGACCCAGTTTTTGTTTGAAGTTCATTTTTATTGAATTCAAGAAGGTGAAATGATATTGTTGACACAAAGTCAATAATTTATTCATGTTCCCCCACAGTATCTAACTACATCAGACTTTCTTATATGATCCTTTCTTCCCAGAAATGCTTTCATAACGTCCACTCAGTTCAGTCCTACTGGTCATATGTGATGAGTCCGACACCAAATTCTGGCAGGCTGCAGTGACTATTCAAGGCTTTCTCTTTTTGTCTGCATTAGCCTGTGAGGGATATTGTCATGCTACCCATTATACCAGGAAGCAAGGGAACCATTTTTAAGTGTGTGGTTGATAAATTGTCTGGTAAAGGAAAGAAGGTAATGAGAAACCTTCATCCTAGATCATAAATCTGACGTCCCACAGCCCTGATGCCACGTGCAATAAGATTCAGGCTTTCAGCTCTCCACCTATAGAAAATCACCACATTTTGTTTGGTTTATTGCTTAAATGTGTTTGTCTTTTATATGATTCTCGTCAGACCATCTTAGATTTATGAAGCTCTTCTGTTTATTTAGCAACTGAAGCATGTGCTATGAACTTTAATCAAAGAACAGAGAAATGGGCAGAGTTCCCAGTTACAGGAATTGCTGCAAGGAAACTGCTTCATTTGAAAAATCTTTCTAGGCAACTGGGCCAATGCTGCTGTGGGGTGTGAGAGATTCCTTGTGAAGTACTTTTTGTTCTTTTATTCATTGGTAATTCTTGGCAAAGTTTTAGAATACCTTTATAATGTAGGAAATTTACTCTCACAGCTCCAGCTAAATAGTTCTTTCAGGAAATATAGCTCTCTATAAAGAAACTGTGCTTCTTTACTGAATTTGATGTTCATTAGGAGAGAGGGGTGCTGTTCACCTGAATACAAGAATGGAATACTAGCAATTCCTGAACTCTAATCCCCGTGCTAAATAAAACTTCTTCTCTAATCTGAAAGAAGTCACTTGGCTTTTCTGACTCATTGTCTCCTCTGTAATTAGTGAATGGACAGAACCTGAAGCTGTGTGCATAATGTTAGGTTCATAGGGGATTATTGAAAAAATATTACAAATATATGATTTCTGTGGATTATTTTTATTAACCTGTTTTTTTGGTGTTTTTTTTTTTTTTTTTTTTTTTAGGTTGATGTAGAAGATAGTGAGCTAGGCAAGACCTTTCTATAGCAAAAAGCAGTGAGCAGAAAAAATCAAAAGCGTGTTCCATAAATATCAGAATTGTGCAAGAGTTGACGTAGAGAGTAGGATTGCCCTGCAGAAGTTCTAGCAAACAGTATATGTAAACTGTACATGACATCCATATGTCTAGGGTAGCAAGGCAACCCATCTGCTTGTACTAAACTGCTCCTGTAATCTCAGAGTGTTTTATGTTTTAAACAAGCAAATTAAGTTCTCCTGGAAAATCATTTGATATGGAAAGGATTCCTAGTTGCTTAGTGGGTTTACTATATTAACATTATTGTCCACTTTGTAGAGCAATAAATATTCAACATGTACCTGCTTAAATATCTTTGAAATAGAAACTGGTCTGGAATTTTTATTTTTATTTTTTTTGAAAGAGCAGCAACATTAAATTAGCTTACAGCAGACTTCTGTTTCTCAGCGTGATCTTTTTATGTCTGTTGTTGAGCAAAAGAAACAATGACATGCATATAAATAAAGGCAGAAGAATGAACAATTCACAAATGAAAAAATAATGTAAAAAAGAAAAAGTATTTGTTACAATATTGCTTAGCAATATTTAAGTGCCTCTCACATCTACCACTAAATCAATTTATACAATTAGTTTGTTTTGTTTTTTTTTGTATGTTTGTTTTTTCCACCACTGGGAAATGCACAGAATTTAACTGTACGCATAACCTTTGCAGGAAGTTGTTATTTCATGTTGCTTTACAGATAAGGATGTCAGCCAACTGCAAGGGATTGCCTGACAGCATTAGGACTGGCTCCCCTTTACAGAAGACCTGGAAAGTAGGTTAGCAGGAAGTATTGGCCTGACTCTGAAGCAATGCTTGGATGTGTGCCTTTGAATTGGAGCAAAACATTTTATCTTCTGTATCAATGCTCATGAAACAAACACTTAATTGAAAGACAGTATTCTTCAGGCAATAAATGAGGATGATTCAAAACTTCAGTAAAAATGAGACTGAGTCCTTACAAAAAGCCTCTTACTGTGCATCTTGGGCATTTGTGTTATAAGCATTTTTGGTCTTACAGAGGGAAGACCTAAGATGATTCAATTATTTGTATTAAAAATAATTTACTCTCAAAAGTTTAGAGTAACTGAGCTGTTGTTGCCTCTGCAGTTTACTCATTAACTAATTTTAAAGCTTATCGTGCAGTTAGTTTGCTTAGTTGATGAAGAGCAGTTGAAAGATTAATTATTGAAAAGGTAATGTCAAAAAATGCTATATCCCAAACCATTGAACACTGGTTTGTTGATGTTGTTTGTTTCTTGCCCTTACATTTGCCATTAAACTTGAATTCTAGTTCTTTCGTTCGTTGTTTTTTTTTTTTTCTTCTCTTAATATTAAGGAGCATTTGCATGCTGTTCTACCTTTTACAGATTATTCTATCAAGACTCGAAATTAGCTTTTGAGAATTACAAATTGAAGAGACCTGAAGCAAATATAGCTGTGATACTGGATTATTTCTTTCAGGGTCTATATGTTGATGTTGGAAAATATCTGAGACATAGTCACAGTCAAAACCAATGAATACTGTTGGTGAAATGTCTGAATTTCTTGTATTAAGATACTTTAAAATACCTCTTAGTCTGAGCACCTTTCAAGTTTTACTGTGGAGAATGTAGGCCTAACACTAGAACAAGAAATTTTGTTGTCGTTTTTTTTTGTTGTTGTTATTATTATTATTTCAGGTAGATATTTTATTTTGAATGAGAGATATGGTAAAGTAGTACTATGAAACTGTCTAAAGCAGTAATTTCTATTGTGTATTTTGTATATTGTGTAATTTCTAATTATTGTGTAATTGTGTTTTGCTGTCTCTTTTAAAAAATTACAAGTGTGCCACCACTGGCCTATTTTCTTTTATTGAAGCCCTGTTAACCAAGGGGCCTGCCTTCCTAACATAAGCATTTACCCATGATGTTTCTTTAATCCAACAGGAAGGACCGTGCCTATGTTGAGAAGTGTTGGAAAGATGTACAAGTGGGGGATTTTGTGCAGCTGCAGTGTAATGAGACCATCCCAGCTGATATTCTCTTGCTGTACTCCTCTGATCAAAATGGGATCTGCCATTTGGAAACAGCGAACCTTGATGGGGAGACAAACCTTAAACAACGACGAGTCGTGATGGGGTTCTCTGGCCAGGTAAGACTACTAAAAATGCAGCACATGCAGACAAGGGTTGGTCTGAGCCCATCTGCACCACAGCTGCAGCCACAAAGTGCAGCAGTTCCGATGGGGTGGTTTCTTCAATACACCTGCAAAAATTTTTTGCTGTTACTGCTAATGCCCTGGGCAGAAGGCAGCAGTTTGTCCCAAAAGCTCTCTGTTATTCTTGGACAGGGATAGCTGTATAAAAAGGAAAATTATCTCAGACAGTAGTTGCCTGCAGGAAACTGCATCAATGGATTTTTAAGAGACAATACACAGTACTCAGGTTTGCTACTGAAGCAAGTCTTTCCTATGCATAAGCCATCCACACCCTGCAAGTAGTCAGAGCACATCCCATAGAAAAGCTGCTACTATTGAGTGAATTATTTCTGCATAGAAATTGGAAGACAGCTTGCACACCCCTTCCAGACTGGCTGTGTGCTTCTTTATGGATTTTGCTTCTCTGTTGCAGCTGATGTATTATTGCTCTTTCACCAGGCAGGTACACTTACAGCTAGGAATTGTTCTGGCTGTTCAACAGGCTGATTGTTCAGCTGGCTACTGCACCAATCTCACGTGGGCATTCTTTACATATGAGGTTTTCCATTTTTTTCTTTTAGAGGCTGTGCTGTTACACAAAATACAAACTTTTGCCTGTCATTTATAATATGAAGAAGTCTTTCAAATCAGAAAACACCCATGTGCTGTATTCAGACCAACTCTTCATGTTTGGTTTTTATATTGTTTTTTTGTTTGTTTGTTTTTATGTTTTGGAGTCATTATTTAGATAAACTGTGTGCCCAGAAGGGTTTATACGTATGAAGTCTTGTTACATAGGCAATGTGGAATGCATTTCTGACCATGGTGATATCCAGTGCTCAGGAAGGTCAGAGCTCAAATAATCATTTCTATTACCCTGTTATTTTAAATTATTAATATAAACAGTATGTTGACTAAAAAAAAAAAAAAACAGTGTGCTAAATAGCATATGAACTGGTTTTAGTGTTCCTGTCTACTACTACTTCCTTGTTCTTTGAGCTTTGTTTAATCTTGTCATTTAAGTGCTCCATAAAACTTCTCATATTTAATTACGTCTATAGAGTGTGACTCTTTAAGGAGTAATGAAACATGTATGAACTGAGGTTAGTTCTTTGGTTTAGGATATGCTTAGGAATACTGAATTCACATACCTTTGAAAGATTGAGAGGAAGGAAGCTGTTTTGGTGGGTTTTTTTTCATTTCTTTTAAGGGATTTTCTAACTTGAATTTTCAATAGTAAAATTCTTGTCATCAGAAGAAAATGTGTTGAGAAGAATCATCTTTCTCTACCCCTTTCTAGCTAGAAACCTATTAGGTTGTTCAATGAGTAATGAGCTCTCCATATTCTTTTTGCATCTTGCCATTCCTCTGTTGTAGAAATATTTATAGGATAATCAAATAAGTATTGATTTTTCTCTTGACTTTACTGAGTTGAATAAGATTCAGCAATGATCTTAAAAGAGATGGTAAAAATATTCAACTATGTGGGGCAGAAGGCATACAAAATGCCCTGATATTCATCAAGTTTTTATTTTTCCTCCAAAAATTATTTTTTAGATCAGATTCTCTATTTGTTTATACTTACATTTTATTTTGTATGTATATGTATAAAATCTATGTATTGCTCAGAAAAAGAAGAGCAGGAGAGAGAAAATAATTTAAGAATTAGAGCACATAAAAAAAAAAATAAGAGAGAGAGAGAGAGACTTGGGGGCTAGCACTGTGAGGAATTGCTCTTGCAGTCCGGCAAAGCTTTTATGAATTTCAATGAAGGATTCTTAAGATTTGATTTTCTGAAGGAGTCTAACTGTCTAATTTCTGGAATTCCCTCTTACTTTAGAAGAAGATAAGGAAGCCCAGCAGCAGACCTGATTTCCAGTTCTGAATTTCCTAATGGGAGGAGTTTAGATTCAAGTGGTTTTTAATTCTCTTAATTTTTTTATTACACAGCAATAATGATCCTCTTTCATGTTTCTTGCATCCCATTTTTATTACGTGTTCTTGATCTAAAATCAAAGTCTTCTGTATCTTTTCAGCTGAGAAAGAAATAGTTATGGCAATCATGTACCTTTCCTATTGTCAGCTTTCTGGACTGCTTCATGCAGCCAAATAGCAAGCCTGTTTCCTTGAATAAGGGGGAAATCAAGCAAAAGTGTGTGTCTTGCTTCAGCTCCCAGCTCTCCTGGTACATAGGACTCTTTCTCCCCTCTTCCTTCTTTTTTTTTTTTTTTGTTTATTTGTTTTGCTGTTAGTCTGTTTTAGTTTTATTTATTTGACTATATTCAAATTATTCAAGTATGCGAGCTCTTATTTATGATCATGTATTCCTTACCAGTAAAGCAACTTTTCTAATATATTTCAAAATCCGTAGTATTAACATTGAAATTATTTTCAGCTGATCTTGCTTTTGGTTGAAGACTGTTTTGTTTCATAAAGAATTTGAACTTTGTTACATTTACCTTAAATGAAGACAGGTGCATTCACTAACCAGCATCTGTGTTTTCTTGCCCAATACACAGTATTTTTAAATTTAATTTAATGATTTGTTAATCCAGCAAAGGAGATCTGCTATAGTGTGATAATGCCATTCTGAAATAACAATAATAATAATAATAATAATAATAATAATAATAATAATAATAATAATAATAATAATAATTACATTATTTTTCAAAATTAAGTTTGCTTATGGTGAAATAGATTTTTGTTGACAAAAAAAAAAGAATTTATTTGAGTGCTATTTGAGAATTTAAAAATTAAAAATATAGGCAGCTATTGCTCTTGGCTGCACCATCTGGCTGTGTATGAATCCAAGGGCAGGGTTTTACCCTTTTTATTTATTTTTTTTTTTAATTTTTTTTTTGGTGAAGTGCATTTACCAAGCCCATCTGTATTAGAGTTTAGCATTTCAAGTACTTTTTGTATTTAATGCTCACTCCCAGTGTGTTTTCTTTTGCAGAATACTTTATTTGAACCAGAATTTTTCCAAAACACCATCATCTGTGAAATGCCTAACAATGATCTCAATAAATTCAAAGGGTACATGTAAGTATCTGTAACCCACAAGTTCATTTTGTGCCTCAGCTTTAATATTTTACTTGGGGGAGATATGGAAGGAAGCAACATATTTTGCAGAAATTGATTGACAACACTGTTATCTATTCCTGAACTCAGAAGTCAATATAAAATGTAGACTGAAATCCAGGTTTTAAGGCAAGGCAGGACAGAGGCTTGACATTGAATTTGCAGTTGTTTTATAAAAATTGTTCTCACAAGGCTTCATCTCTTTTCAGAATTCAGATATAAGTTCATTTATATGACCTGAGGGTTAGGCTAAGCTAGACGCTAAATCTGAATCCTTCTTTATGTTTAAAGATATCTGGCTGCATGGTTCTGATGTCTTCATATTTGTGGCCACAGGGAAAAGGTATCCAGGATCTAACAAACAAACCAGATTTTCTTCTGGATGGAACACAAAAGACATCACCAAGAAATCCTAATGAGCCAATGCATTAATCTAAAAAAAAAAAAGTGCTTTTTTTTGAATGTAAACATAATTGTGTGAGGAAAAAGCTGCATCCTCTGCTCCTCATGTTCTTTCTTTCGTCAAATAATTTGGGATAGGCATAATGGGGAAATCTACACTATCAAATTCAGCAGATGTTTCCTAGGCTACAAGGTCAGTTTGGTACTGCTCATATCCTAAAGTTCTCTTACTTTCAATTACAGGGCAGCTGCTTCCCAAGGGCCTCTCCAGAATAATCCTTGATCCATGCTGATTCCCACACCAGGGAATTGTCTGAAATGAGTTGCTGCCCCAGACCAAATGCATGCTCCACATCATGCAACAAATTTAAAGAATTTAACTTGTATGAATGTATCAGCATGCCTGTCCACACTCTGACTTTTTTAGGTTTACTAGTAGCTAAACTAATAGTTAAAGTCTGCCAGGACACTGTAGAGAGTGTTGCACCTGGCGTAGCTGCAAATGTCAAGATCTTCTGACATCAGTAAACCAGGAGATCCTCACACATTAGCCCTGACTGTTCCTAACCTGATCTTGAGAATTTCTGCCCTGTCAGAATGATGTGTCTAATAGCAATGTCATTCCCCTCTGCTATGATATCTTAAAATGTAAAAACAGGTCAAGTTTGTATTGATTGCTAGCTGTAGTTGCTGGCTTTGAGGACCGCTGGGCATAATCTAAATTGAAGCAATCCTTCCAATTAGCCTGCTGTAATACAGCACAAGAGCACTGAGATTATATAAATGTAGGCAATATGTCACAAGAAAACACACAAAAACACACCCTTAGGACCAAGGACTAGCTTCAAATTCTTCAAATCTCTGTTGAAAGCCTGTAACAGAAAACTCTTTTGGAAATGTGTATTATCTCACCTGCTTGGTGCAATAGAGGACCTTTCTCTCCCTGATTCAGGGATAGATGAAAGAATTTTCCATGGAAAATGTATTTTTTTTCTTTGGTCTGTTTTAATAAATTATTGATCATCTACCTCCCTGCTATAAGCCTGAGAACTCTCTCTGCTAAAAATGGTAAGAACTTAATGATGTCCATCTGACATGTCCTGGCCACAGCAAATTCTGCTCAAGGGGATGCAGGAAGACTTCTGTTAAGTGATTTCACGAAAGCTAAATCTAGATTTCCAGAGAAAGATGTTTCTGGCATTATTTCTTAAAATGTGTTAACAAAGACAATTAAATTAATATTTATTAACTAATATATTAATAGGGTACACATATACACATATAGGGTACTTAAATCTCATTGCACCAAAGCCTGGGTTTCATATACACAAAATACTCTATAATCACTCCCCTTGTGTTCAAATGCCAGTGAAGCCAACCAAGCATCTGTAATTTGAAGGTGCTTTGGAAATCATACACCTCCACTCCAGTTTACAGCAGTGACCTTCTCCTGCTTTACCACTACAAGCCAGAACTGCCTTACAATCTTCCTCTGCAGACTCTTTAAGCAAACCTATTATTCTACCAGCTTGTAGGTATTTGGCACCTCAACCTTTTTACTCCTCTTATTTTATGTCTAGCAGTCACGTGCAGCTGCAAATAGACATAGGACTGTACATAGCCCTGAGAAAGCACCTTGCCCCCCATTTAAGTAACACTGCAGTTCACTAGTAAATGCAATGCTAAATATCCAATAGAAAGTAGGAAAAGATACATATTCTGAAATAAATCTTTTCTTCTGCTGGTACTTAAATAACAAAGTCAGTTGGAGTGACAGAACTGAAAAATCTGTTTTGGTAGAGATCTCAGGAGAAGCCTACCAGAATGCATAAACAAAAAACTGTGATAAGTAGCTTTCATTTTCAGAGGCAAGCAACAAGTTGCCTGCCTGATGGGGTGCTGGCCTTACAATTTCCATCAAGTTTTCATTGCTCTCTTCTACTAGCAGAAGGATCTGGTGTGTAATGGGACATCTTCAGCCAGGATGAAAAGTCTTACAAACAGCATGAGAGTGAGGAAGAAAGTCTCAGCCTAGATACTCTTGAAGCTGAACTGAGGTTCAAAGATGAGAAGCCCTGCAGTAGTTGATAGAGAGACAGAGGCTCTTGCAGGCTGCTGATACATTCATCTGAACTTTTACCAGCAGACAAAAACTGCTCTACTTTCTGAAAGAATTTAAACTGAATTAGGTTGTACAATATATCTTGGCTTCATTTATGAGATACTGAATTCATCACATAAGGTGCTAGGTGAAAGCCAAATTTCTTCATATTGATATTGTAATACATACAAAATGTCAATGGGCTTTTAGAGATACTTAAACTTCTCTATAACATCTTACTGGAGTCTTTATTGAAGCTGAGTGAAATACAAGCAATACAGGGCTTTCGCAGTTCCTTATTTTCAACTTGAATTAGACATGCATGCAGAAATTTTGTTTAATACTGTTTCAGAACAGAAAATGACATAGCTTTATTTTACTTTTTTTTTTCCCTAGGGAAAAGCCAAATAACGAACGGATTGGTTTTAACATTGAAAGCCTTTTGCTTCGTGGATGTACAATCAGAAACACTGAGGTTGCAGTAGGAATTGTTATATATGCAGGTAAAAAGTTGTAAAAAGTTCTTTCTATAGTATTCATAGAATCTCCTTGTAAATATCCTTAAGTAAATATGCGTAGTCTAGCATCACACCACAATTTAACATTTTAAGAAATGATAGTACAGAGGGAAGAATACATAATTTTTTGAAGTAAAGCTCTTACTCATCCATCTCCAAAGGCAACAAGTCCTGCACTGGGTCTCTGGCAAGTGACAGTATCCTTGCGTATATCAAGTATCTTGCTACATTTATGCCAAAATGTCTGGTCAAGTCAAATTTGATAAGGTGAGTTTAACTCTCAGCTCTGTAGCTCTGATTATAATGATAATTTCATTGATTATAAAATCTATAGTGCTGTCCTTAGAGGTGTCTCATTGGCTCCTCAGGGCAGAAACTGATGCAGTTTAAGAACCACCCAGCAAAAAAAAAAAGTAGGTTAGTTTTCATCATAAAGCCAACTGGTGCCAGTGCCAGCACATGGAAAGCAGTAGAAAAGCAGCTGGAGGTTACAGAAGAGGTGGCAGCCCCACAGGTTTGTGCTGACACAGACAGTGTGTGTCCTTGCAACTGTGTATTTCATGCAGTAATCTACATGAACCGTGCAAGATGGTGTCAGTGCTCAGATCAAGCGCAGCAGTGCCAGGTTCAGCAGTGGGTCAGCTCATTTTTTTCTCAGCTTCTTTTGCCTTTGGAATGTTACCACCACTTCTATTCAGTGAGCATGATTTATCATTGACTTTGATGGCTGTGCCCTCTTCTGCTTCAGAAGCAGCCTATCAACTACCAGTGTATCAATTCTTTATACCCTCTTTATTTGTTGATGAAATAAAAGTCAGGTTAAAAACAATGATTAACATCACTATTGGTTATTTTTACCTTTCTGGAAGTCATGTCACCTGTTGTATGTCTAACCAGCAGCCTGGGAGGCCTCAAGGCTGAGCTACCTAAGAGTAATAAGTCACCATTTTTGCAAGAGTCATTTACCTTACATTGACCTCCACAATTCATAATATTTTACCTAATAATCAGCCATTTTATGTCATTGCTATAGAAGTGGACTTTAAATGGCTATAGCTCCCAGATATTTCCAAAATAGCCTTCACCTTGTAGGTCTTTCAACACCTGTCTTTCTGAACATCACAAGTGAGGATGGTACCTACCAGACCAAGGAGGAGTGCCAGACAGAGGAGGATTCCAAACCTATCACTCATTTTTTGGAGCTACTATATAAATTCTCTATAGGAATCATACCCTGTAGAATGGGAGTAACTTCACAGATTCAAAGAATGGTCTGAGTTAGAACGGACCTTTAAATATCATCTAGTCCAGCCCCCCTGCCATGGGCAGGGAAATCTTTCACTAGATCAAGATACTCAAAGTCCTATCTGACCCAACTTTGAATACTTCTGGGGCATAACTTCTCTGTATCACCACCCTCACAATAAAAAATGTTCTTCCTTGCATCCAATCAAAATCCAACCTCTTTCAGTTTAAAACTATTGCCCCTTGTCCTGTCACTTCAGGCCCAGGTAAAAAGTCTTCCTCTATCTTCTAATAAGCTCTCTTTATATATTGCATGTATAACATGCAATATACATGTTATACATGCAATATATAAAATATATATATATGCATATATATATTTAATATGTATTATATATATAGTAATACATGTATTTTATTTTTTTTACATATTTATATTGTTATATACTATAACATCTCCCTGGAGTCTTCTCTTCTGCAAGCTTAACACCAGCTCTCACAACTTTTCTTGCTGGGAGAGGTGTTCAAACCCTCTGTTCATTTCCATGGCCATCTTCTTGACCCATATCAACAGGTCTTTTCTTCTGTAAGGATTTCTATTTTTCTTCTCTTTGGTCAAGTCATTTTTCAGTATGCTCCTTTCAACATCAGCACAGATTCCAATGTGGGTCTCTGTTAATGTTGCTTAAGCTGCCAGCAGCAAAAGCTGGGAGTTTTAAAGTGATTCTCAAGATGTGTTTTCATTGGTCTGAGTAAGTCTTCAACTCAATTTCCAGTTGTCATCTTATTGTTAATGTCCGTATAAAAGTTTATTCCTTTTCTTCTAAAATTAGACTCATTTGAGCCAGTACCTGCTTCATTTCTTGGTTTCTTTGACATTTATTATATTCTGGCTTTTAATCATGGTCTCTGACCTTTTCTGAGTATCCAAGATCAGTCACATTACAACATGGCATGTTCTCTATTTTTATAACCCTATTATTCCTCAAACTTACTATCTAATGGAAGTCTTTGTGAAGAGCCAAGCCATCACTTGATGTGATTGTTTAGCCTGTGTAGTTCTCATCTGACCCAAGTATGATTTTGCTTTTCATGGTTACCCAAATGGTTCTACACAAAGCAATAGTGCTAACTGCACCAAAACCTAATTACAGACCAACAGCCAACATAGTTTTCTCATTGCAATAAGGACAGCAGCAAGAATTATATGCTTTTCAAGTACTAAAGTACCAGAATTAAAACAAGTTTTAGATGAGCCTATTTGCATCCAGAAATTGAGAGATCATGTACCAGTGGGGTGATAGGTGAGGTGCTGCCTTACATGGCATACAAAACCATGAGGACTCTAGGAGAAAAAAAAAAAAAAGTTTCTCGTATTTCGGATATTACATTTCTTGCAAAGTGATATATTTATTAGAGGTGTGCAGAACACTCCTTTTCCTGTTGGTCAGCTGAAGTGGAAGGGAATAACAGAAGTGAAATTTGGAAATAAAGCTCCTCACATTTTCTTGCTGAAACAAATCCATCAACATTTGTTTGAGGGCTTCTGCATGGACTAGCTGGCTTTGTCATATTTTTTGTTTGCTTTTTTCAACACAAAAAACTCTATTAAACCTGCTGTAAAAGAAAAGTGAGGAACAAGGTTCGCACAGCTGCTGGAGGAACAGAAGTGCAGGCAGTAGTACTCCCCATTTCTGTGTAACTCGGTGGCTAGAGCATTTGTTCACTGAAGGGAAGACTTGGCTTTCATTCTCAGTTCTGCCTACATGGGAATGAACACACACCTCCTGCTTCACAAGTTGTATTCTGAATATCTGTGGAATAAGCAGGTTATACATGAGTTGGAAAGAGAGGAGCACTGATGGTATAAACTGGTCCCACTGACATAGCTCAGGGTTGTGTAAATAATTGAATGTTCATTGAAATAGGAAGCCAAGAGTCCCAGCTCTTGGGTGAATGTCCTGAACATAAGGCTGGAGGGTAATTTTCTGTCTTGCGGTCTCCCTCAGTTAATAACTTTTGATGTAAAGCTGGAATTAATCCAATAGGAGTGATTAAATCATACCTTACTCTCAGCTTTCAGTTAAAATTCTCTAGGAAAAGCCAAAAGTTAGATGGCAAACAGTACCTCTCACATGCTAAACACACATATAAAACACACACACACAAAATAATAGTAAAATACAAGTCTCTATAGCCTATATTTTCCAGGGAAAGGACTATAGGAATAAACATAAAATATACTATTTAACATAAAATATACTATTTAATATAGCAACAGATGGTATCCAAATATGCTAATTGTGGAGCCACGGTTTAGATAATATTAATAAAATACATGTAGAAAATGTAGAAATGTAGAAAAATTTTGCTTGTTAGCTTCTTAAAGAACTCCTCTTTTTCCATTACAAATATACCAACTGAATTTTAATTCAGTAAGTTTTATGATTTGGGTGTGCTTTTTTATTATTATTTCTTGTCCTACTGTTTTGTTAGCACTTAACATCCACACGATTTAAAACTAAGCAACGTTAGTATCTTTCACTGCTGGATCTAATGTCAGATACTGTTTAAGTTAATGTAGGAAATGTGTCTAGTGGCTTCTAAATAGCTGATGAAAAATATTTTAAATGTTTTTCAATTATAGGTGTTGGGAATCAGTATATCACTTAATCATGTTGATTGTAAAATACCAAAATTCAATATTATTGCTGTTTTTCCTTCTATTCTCAGGGAGACTTGGCTGTTATGTAGAAGCACATCTGTGCTTTTGAGCCTCAGAAGATTTGAATATTGATACAAATCTTTTGTTCTTGTTGAATCTGCTGTCTTTTGGGAAGTAAAATATATGTTACAGCTGAAAGCTGTAATATAATGGAGGTCTTCTGTAAACCCCTTATCATAGAATCATAGAATATCCTGAGTTGGAAGGGACCCTTAAGGATCATCAAGTCCAACTCTTGACACCGCACAGGTCTACCCAAAAATTCAGACCCCTTGATTTAGTCTATCATATGTTCTGATGTACAGTCAAATGAGAAGATGGTCAATAAAATTACTGAATGAAACCAGAGTTAAATTAGCATTAGTTGTGAGCATCCTGCTCCCACATTGTGAAATGCTTTAAAATATATATACTACATAAATATATCTATTTGTGTTTTGAAGGTCACGAAACTAAGGCCATGCTAAATAACAATGGTCCTCGTTATAAGCGCAGCAAGATAGAGCGACGGATGAATATGGATATTTTCTTATGTGTGGGACTCCTGTTCACAATGTGCCTTGTTGGAGCCATAGGTATGAAGCACTGATAAAAGTCTTCTTTCTATTTGATTGTTTTTTTCTATATGATGATTAAAACTGATCTTATACGAGCGAGATCAGATCTAGAGCTGAAGGCCCAATGCTTTTGGAGTCTTTAGGCTCTTTTGTCTTCCAATATACAAGTTAAAATGTCAAATCTGAACAATTCAGATGGAAGGAATGTTGGCCATGGCTATAAATATTTCACATAAGACTTGTCTCCATTGTGGTAGAATTTGTGTAAAGAAAGGAAGTGAAAGCCGTTGGGTTAATGCATTATAGGAATCGGTGCTAACAAATTGAGATATGCTTCCTGAGTGGATGTTTGTTCTCCATGTGTAACTACAGAAGTAAAATGATGTAGCTTTACTTTCATTTTAGTAACATTCTCCTCTAATACATTCAGGGTGATATTAGCCAGAGGTATCCAGTTTTCAATCTGTGAGCTGCACACAGGTAATTCATTCAGTTTACAATCTCCACAGCTACCTTCTTTCCCAAAGGTCCCTTTAGCAGGCTGAGATGAATTAAGTGTTTAGTTAGGAACAGTCTGCATTTTTCTGGGGGCTTTTCAGTGCCTTTTTTCATGTGAGCACACTTGAATATGGTAACTGGGTGGGCTGGGGTTATCTGACAGTAGTTTACTACATTGCAGATCTCAAAAACATTGTTTTCATTGCAGGTAAGCACCCTCTTACCCTCCAACTCTGATTGAGTCTGTCCCAGGCAGGTCAGAATTAATGGGATTTCTTAACCCTGAGGAAAAGGGCCAGAATTTAAGCCCGCTGAGTTTTGAATGGGTCACTGCTTTAAAGACATAACAGAGGCTCCCATGAGCAATTTGTGTTCAAAGCCACCCTTTCTTATAATCAATTTAATGTCAGTGATAACTTACTTAGTGTTACTGCTTTCATTTAGTTTTGTAGAGACAAAGTCAAATCTGGTGCCCCTGTCAAGTTCTTGTGAACCTTCCCCAAAGGCCTGTGATGTGACCCACTCGCCAGTCATAGCTGTAACACTGTTAGAAATAAGGGCCATTCAAAAAGATGAACGATAGAACTGACTTAATCACTTTTTAATTTTGCTGCTTCATGTTGCAGTGGGCTTTCTTGGCACAGAAATGGGATTTCAGTTTGACAACTAAGCTCTATGCGAGAGAGAGAGAGAGACTTTATTTTCATTGTTCCCTGGCTGCTGTCATGTCAATTTAGAAACTTGTCTTTTTCTTCTTTTCTTCTTTTCTTCTTTCTTCTTGTCTTCTTTCTTCTTATTACTCAAGGGGCCCTTGAGTAATAAAGTCCTTTAACTTAAAATTTAAGGGAGTCTCAGATGAAAAAGCCAGCATTTAAAGAAAACAGTTTATATGCTCAGGTTAAAAAAATGAAATGGTCCCATAGCTCTGTCATGAGTTCTTGCTTTGCAATATTGTCTGAACACAAGGCTCTTATACAAGAAGAAATGTTTCTCATGGATCAATCAGTATTTTTCTTGTGTAGAATGAAAAATGGGTGTAAGAAGTGACTTGTCAACTATAGTTGTCCTTCCTCCGTTGTGATTAAGGTCTCTAGCCATAAAATATTGCTGAAATAATCTTAATTCCTTTGGCAGCATTTTAGTAGGCAGATGCTGCAGAACAACCACTAGTTTAATTGGTGCTAACTGAAGTTTTATCAGAACTGGGTATGAAAAGTGGACTAATAGAGGTTTTTGGCAGGAAAAAGGCATTAGGAGCAATGATGCACTGTGGGTTGTTTGTCCTAGCTACGTGTCGTTTCTGAATATGTACATTTAGTAACATTCCTAAGCAAAGTTTATGTCAGTAGAGCAATATGAAAGCTGGTAAAGAAGCCCAGGTGGGATGTTGGTAAGTCCTAAACTGGAAACTTTGCTGTAGTAGTGCAATGAAATCTACTGATATTTAATATACAGGGGAAGAAGCAGTTTGGGGGTGTGACCTAACTGATGGGAAACAGAGGAAATGTAAAAATAAGCTGCTTAGCTTGAGTTATAGGAAGCACGTGCTAACAAAGAGAGGTGGAAGTTGAGAATGGTCGGGAAGGATGAAAAAGATTTCAGCTTCTCTCTATGAAAGTTATCATACTTTCTGTTAGAAAGTGGAATGGGAGTCTTCAACACTAAGGACTTTTAAAGAGAGGTGGAAGAGATGGAATCCTGCAGCAACAAGAGGTAGAGTGAGAAGAGATGTATACAGAGCTAAGAGTCTTGTGGGACAGGTGGATGAAAATAATCACCTTCCGGCTCAGTGTATTTCAACATAATACGTATTCCAACAGGTCATGGCATCTGGGCTGGAAGCTTCTCAGAACATCCACCTTATGATGTCCCAGATGAGAATGGCAATTTTCCGTCTCCAGTTCTTGCTGGTTTCTACCTGTTCTTGACTATGATAATCCTACTGCAGGTAAAAGATAAACACTTCTCTGTTACCTTCAAGGAAGAAGCTATTCATAACTGACTACAGTCAACAATGAAAAATTAGTATCAAGTAATAGCTGTGCAGTACCTTCTTAATCCTATTTGAAAATATTGTAAGGAGCATTTCAAAACATTGAAGTGCGACATATTTTTTTTCTTTCAAAACACTTTTTTTTTTTGGTGGTGTTGAAACGTCACAGGAATATAGATAAGAAGGACATGTATTATATCTTTAAATAGCTCCAGAATCTCTAGGATATGCACTAAAGAAGACGCTTACGTCGAAATATCAGTTGTTGGGTTTTTTTTCTGCCTATGCCCATCATTCCTAAATAGGAATGCCACTTAATATCTCAGAAAGACAGTGAAAAAAAAAATGTTTTGCCGGTGGGGAATAATAGCTAGGTATGGCTCTACGGGTTTAGGAAATAAGATAAATTAAAAGTAGGATACTCGTATATGAGTCTGATTAAACCTAATCATGAAGAACAGTTTATGGGGTAGGGGATAAAATCATGCTTTTCTGATTTCTTGACTTATCTGCTGAGATTTAAGTGAACAGAATTTCTTTAATATGAATGAAATATGAAAATAACTTTCTGAGTTGCTTAGAGATTCACAGAATCACAGAATCACAGAATTTCTAGGTTGGAAGAGACCTCAAGATCATCGAGTCCAACCTCTAAGCTAACGCTAACAGTCCCCACTAAACCATATCCCTAAGCTCTACATCTAAACGTCTTTTAAAGACCTCCAGGGATGGTGACTCCACCACTTCCCTGGGCAGCCCGTTCCAGTGCCTAACAACCCTTTCAGTAAAGAAATTCTTCCTAACATCCAACCTAAAACTCCCCTGGCGTAACTTTAGCCCATTCCCCCTCGTCCTGTCACCAGGCACATGGGAGAACAGGTTTATTCGTTACAGGTTTATCCTTTATTACTTAAACAGAACATTTGTGCACCTTAAGAATTCAGGATTATTTCATGACAGGGAAGTTAGTGGATGGGAAGTGTTGCATGCAAAGTCATTACTTTGGAAACTTTTTTTACATTAAGAGTTAGCCTTTGCTAGTGCATCATCTCAGAGTTTCAGGAAGGAAGAACTGCATACCTTGACTTTGATGAACCTTGATGAAACTTGGACAAAAACACGTGCTTTGTAAGAGAGTCAAGAATCCAATTATAGACTCATCAGCTCATCTTTGTATTTGGTTCAAATAATTTTGTCTTAAATTCGTGACTTATTGTCCCTAGCTATCCGTTGCTACTGTGTGCAGTTTTTCTTTTATTTGTTTGTTTGTTTTTAACTGTTATTATTTGGTCCTACAATACATCTCTAGGAAGAACTTCTTTTTTTCTGAAAATGTTAGTATACTTGTGCCAGGAAACTTCTGACAGAAAGCAATAAGACTTGTCTAACACCTCACTGAGATTTTCATCTCTCTTTCAGGTTTTAATCCCCATTTCTCTTTATGTGTCCATTGAGTTGGTCAAGTTGGGCCAAGTCTTCTTAATTCACAATGACATTGACCTCTATGATGAAGAAGCAGATTTGCCCATTCAGTGCAGAGCCCTAAATATTACTGAAGATCTTGGACAAATTCAGTATATTTTCTCAGACAAAACTGGGACACTAACAGAAAACAAAATGGTATTCCGACGCTGTACAGTTGATGGACATGAGTTTTCACATCAGGAAAATGGTAGGAGATACTTTTTTAAACTTTCTTTTTTTTTTCTCTGAGCTAGTAAATCTTATTAATTTAAATAATAACATTTAAACCTACTGAGCCTTCTGACTGAATTTATGGTTTTGTCTCCATTTTGTGAGGGACTCCTGTTATGGAGATTCCTAAAGTGAAGTTTTAACTGATTTGGAGGGCAGATAGGAAAGGTTTTCTGGTTCCTTCTGAATACATCTCAGGCATTGCCTTGCATTGAATACCCTCTTGAATACCCTCTTGTGCAAAACGAGCATTTTCATTTCTAAATAAATGCCAGGCAATCTTCTATAGGCTCACAAACTGAAAATAGTTATTAATCAAACTCAGTGGGTCCAAAAGTAATTGCCATAGACTTCTGTGTGATATGAAAGAAGGTGCATCTACATCTTCTAGAGTCAACCCTAGCTGCAGTCTGTATCTGAAGTCTTTTAGCATTCAGCGCCAAATCTGGACATTATTACTCAGACCCCTTCTTGGTTGCTACTTTCTCTGTCTACATAGCACAAAGGATTTAATTTAGCAGGCAAGAAGCTGCTGTAAAGATGTTTGTGCTTTGTGACAGAGAGCATTAACAAATTTGTGAATTACCTTCTTTCTTTCTCATATTCCAGACAACCACAAAGTGCAACCCTTAGCATTTAGGAGAAATCCTTAAAAACAACTGATCACTTTGAAATGCATTTTTGATTTCATATGATAGTAAGCATTGCAGAGAGGGAGTTGCCAGAAAATAAAGTGGATTGTGAAGGTTTTTCTGGTGATGGCTTTTGAGTTGTTTTAGCTTTGGGTTAGTTTATTTCAGTTTTTTTGTAACTAACCAAGGAATTACTCCTAAGCCATGCAAAGAATAGTATAAAATATAATGTTAATTATCTTTTAAAAGATAATGTTAATTTTCTCTATTTACAGCCAAGCGCCTGGAAACCCATAAGGAGTTGGATTTAGATTATGCAGATTTTGTAAAACTTCAACACTTCACACTTCCTTCCATGAACACTGAAAGACCAGGCACTTATAATCAAAGGACCATGAGACCCTTAAGGAGGTGCCAGAGTGCTAGAGCTCATTTTCAGGGGCATACACGGAATAGGTCACTTGGTCGTCGTGACAGCAACCGATCACAAGTGGCATTCAGCAGCACCATTGTGAGTACAAACAGATCGAGCTGGCACATTTAACTACAAGATATGTAGTTGGCACAGAATGAGCTTTTTGTACTGTTTTGGTACCCTGGAATGGCAGGAAAGTGAGGTAGACTGCAATGGGGATGCTGGCTGGGGTTGTTCCGAGAGGAGTTGGGGCTGTGAGCAGAGATAGGAGCCTGGAGCCTGGCTTTGCAGAAAAGGGCAGTATAGGTCCTTCTGGAAGATGATGGTTGGGAAAAGGTTATGGGATTGAAGTCTGAGTCTGAACACAGTTCAGAATGCCATAAACTACTTTTGCTATCAGCACTGCAACATATTGTCTCCAATAAACAGTTTAACCACCCATGAGCTGTGCATGCCGAATGCAAAAGCTGTGCTCTCCAGACCAGTTCTGTGTGATTTGTGACTTAGCAAAAGCTAAGTGGTGCATTTCTTTGAGATAAAAATAAAAAACAAAAATCCCAACATTTTTCACATAGAAAATATACATGTAAATGAAGCAAGAAAGGTTTATCAGATTACATTCTCAAACCCTGTGAGATGTTGAACAGATACTGAACAGCCTTGTCCCGATTCATTAGCTCGGTGGCCTCTGCCTCACCTCAAGTACTGACATGGAAGTTCGAGTCATCCTCATTGCACTTCTAGAAAAGCCTTAAACTCATCTGAATTTTAGATCTGAAACTTCCCAAAATCTAACACAACCTAATCAAGGTCAGTCTGGTTTTTAATCCTTGAAAGTTTGTTAAGAGACATTTCAGAAAAAGCTTTTATGCACTCCAGGAGAAGGTCAAACACTTTCAAAATCAGAATTACAATTAAAATTAATTAAAAAGCCCTTCCAAATCTTCATTGTAACAAATTCTAATAAATAGAGGATTCTCAGAACTTTATTATCTGCAGTTGTTCTTCTTGGCAGAGTTTTTGACTTGCTGACTTTTTTTGGTTGATGTAAGCCTAGATTAATTTTAAGATTCTACTTGTCTCATTCAGTTTCTCTGTTTTGTAGTAGATATTGGTCAGTGTTCCTCCTGTTCTTGGAATATGGGGGATTGTCAGTTGTCCTCACATTTTCCAGCCCAGTCCTCATGGAATATTGAGAACTTCTGTATATCTGTTCTATGGGTCTTGACTTTTGAAGTGTGATATAGGACTTCCTTGCCAGATATGTTTCCAGATAGTTTTTCTGCCAAGCCTCTTCAGTTTCTTTCAGAAATAAAATGCCATGTTTTCCTTTGCTTGTTTGCTTGTTTCCCCTCTGTAAAAGCATAATCTGAGGAACTAGTATGAAACATCTGCTTTTTAGAAGGAGGTTAAGCTGCTGTCCTGAAAATAAACCACCTTAGCTGCTGTCACTCTATCCCAATAAATTGCTTAACCTCTGTGACAAATGTGAAGACCTGGTAAAAATGAAGACACTTAGGTATTTATTGCCCAGTATGTTGCCCCGTATATTGATATCTTTCAAATGATGCACAGTAGTATCTTTATTTACCAAACCAATTTCCTTTTTATGAAATAGGGATAGTAAAATTTTCTGTTTCTCTGTGTTTCCTGTCCTTTGGAATTTATATCACCTTGTCTGATGCATTTGTACATTGCTAAGAACAGCTGGAACATCTGTATAACAATGGGTATACAGATAGTATTGTATGCTTGAATGGATCTCAGTAGTCAAAGTTTCTCATTAAAAATCCATCTTTTGTGTCTTCACTCACACATTTAATATTCCTTAATTTAAGGCTTGCAGAGCCCTTCTGGATGAATGTCTCTGTTTAAATAAAAGCACTGAAGTATTCAGTGGCAGTCAACACTTGTCAAATGTGATGCTCACTATGAAATTGTGAGACTCAGCTTCTTCTCATCATCAAAACACAAGAGAAAATAAGGCCCTGCTTTCTACAATAAACAACACAAAGTCCAAATGTCAGCATCTGGGATTACACAGTTTGTTGTTGTTGGCTTTTTTCTTAATAAATTCTGAGATTCCAAGGGTTGATGTACTAGCTAGATGAAAGCTACTCATGGAAACTGGTAGCCTCAGGTAATTAAAAAAAAAAAAAATGAAGAACTTTGCACTGCTGAGAAGACAGTGATTTTTGGGTAAGGGTTAGTACAGCATCTGCTGTGAGCACCTGCATATCAGAACTGTTGCCAAGAAAAGCATTTTAAAGAAGGAGGGCTGTTACCTTAATAATATCCTACAAAATGTGGAATTTAATTGGAAAATAACTACGCCAAACAAACAATAATCACTCACTAATGTCAAATTTATATGTGAACAGTTTTTAAAAGAGCATTATCTGTGCAATGATCACAAAATTCTCTTGTCAATCAACCTCATGCAAATCAGTAGTAACCAGGTTGCATATGGTATTTTAAGCGCATTTGTACTGTGGTAATTGATTGTGCCTGCAAATCAGCATGTTTCAGACTTGGTTTCAGTATTCTGAGCAGTTCTGCAATTAGAAAGCTCCTCAGCTACAAAATGTATTTCAACCTGCCTGTTTGTGAGAGCATTCTCTGCTCAACTAGTTTTGGTGTTTTCCTGAAATTTAAAAAGCTTTTATTAATTAACATGTTCATCTTAGTGCATCTCTGAGCTTGAGATGAGGATGGTGGGTAATTCATGGCATTTGATAAAGTTAATTAAACTGGAGACTGCAGATCCTACAAGAATAGCTAAATAGCACTGCTTTTCTGCTTTTATTTTCTGGAATAAAAATAGTGTAGCTTTTATGCAGAACCTAAATCCTAGGACTTACTTTCTGTTTTTATCCCCTCCAATATTTTTGTCTTAGTCCTTGTGATCCCTGAGAGTTTAGGGAGCCTCCTTGTATGTGATTTATGCAGTTCATAAGATAAAATGAATCCTGTGTCCAGCTACATCCCCCTAAAATTCAGTATTAAAGTCTGTTCAGTGGGAAAGAGCATGACAAGGTCCTGGACAACTGAAAAGCAAATTCCTAACTTTTGTTAGCAGTCATCTTGCTATCTTGAGATGCAAATACAAAAAGATAGAGGTCAACCAATTAACAGTTACACTCAGAAAATTAGACTGAGCTGGACAAATCCATCTGAACTCATATTCACACTATAACCAAAGTCTGTAGTTGAGAATTGTTGACAATTATGTGTGGTATCACATATGTGGTATAATATCAGTATTATTCTGGTATCATAAAAAAGTGTAATGTATGTGTATGTTTTAGGTTTTTTGTGGAATGGAAAGGACGGAAGAACAGTGTAGTCTTTACTTCAGAAATCTCTGAAGAAGTCTGAGAAAGAAATACAGTGACTGATTTATTCCTTTCATAAACATTTATTAGAAATCTGGAGGGAGAAGGATATGTCTATATAGCAAATGCAACTGGGAAAAGAACAAACTCACCTGTTCTTTCACACCTCTTGTTAAAATGGAAACCAATTTTTATCCTGTCTGTCTGGCCCTCTAGAGGACAGCCTTCAGCCAAAGAAGAGGATACCCGGTCACTTCAGAGCCTTGAAGGTGGCATTGGCCACCTTACTGGTTTCTTTTGGTACCTCAAATGAGACAATGCCAGTTGACTTTATTAATTTGATTTGTTGTGGCTGCTGCAACTTCTCAGAGGAAAAATTAAAACAATGTACTATAAACAACGGAGATATGGTTGACAGCAAGACTTCAGGGAAATTTAAAAGAGTAGGAAAAATATAAAATGATAATCAAATTTGGAACAAGACAGGGCATTAGCATTTATTCTGTCTACCTGTAGATGTTCTTATGAAGTAAGATCTTGACAGCACGTTTTCTTCTAGATTTAATAATTGTAATAAACAGTGCCCTGCTATTAGAAACATTTCATGAAGATTTCAATTGTCCTATTATCATCAGGTTTTAGAGCCATCAAGTAGAAGAAATGCTATCAAACTAATACAGAGATCTTAACAAATGAATTGCAGTAGCCATTTTATAACATCAACATTTTACTAACATAGCATTTAAAGTATGGTAAATTTAATTGATTATCATCAATGCTGTTTTGTTTCATTTTCTGTTTTATTCATTCAGTTTTATTCAGGCCAGTCAATGAACAGATTTGTTTGTGTGAATTCTTTTATCTGCTGGTATTCCATAAGGCTGAAACTAGAGAAATAGGTAAATTCAGGTCAGTCCTGCTTTCACTGAATGTGAAAAGAAAAAGAGATAAAAATATTGATTTCTGTATAAATTTTATATTTAAAACTTGTTTCTGAGGCCACAGTTGACCTGAAAATTTTCCATTTTTCCAGAGGAAATTTTTTAGTTCAGAAAGTTTCAGTTGAAATGGAATGCCTATGTGTGTTTTATTATTTTTGGCACAAGTTAGAGGCAGATATTGTGGATATATATGTGCAAACAAAACTGAGTGGGATGGTGATGAATAGGAGAGGTTGAGATCCATGTGTAATGATTTCTGGTTGGCGAGGTTCATTCTAATTGTGGCAATGCATGAGGAAATTATATGAATAGTTGGGCAAACAGAGAATTTCTAATCATTAATGTTTTGAATTGAATATAATTCCCAACATCACTGTTTTGAGAGTTATGTCTGTACATAATATGTTCTACATGGGAATTGTCCAGTTCAGCTATTTGGGATTGCTCTAAGTAGTGAGCACAGTAGGCAACAGGCACACAGGTACCTATCAGCTGCTGCAGCAAGACATTGTGAAACGATTTCTAAAGAATGAGCACTTTAATTTTTCAATGTCTGATTCCTTTTAAGAGGCTTGAGAAGATACCTGAAAATCGGTATATGTCGATTTGCTAGAGGAGGGACTGCATCTGCACTTAAAATTTTTGCCCACATGCAAAAGAAAAAAAGAATGAAAACACTGAGCCAGAGGAACCAGAACCTCCTCTTGCAGAGAGTGCATTATCTGGTTCTCTCTTTGAATCTCAGCTGAATTCTGTGCTGCAGAATGAGCAATAGATTTATTTTCAATTATTGAGATAATTTAAGGACCAGTTTTCATGTTAGCAAGCAGGAGTTACAACATAACATATTCAGCTTAGCACTGCACAGTCATGAAGTTGGTTAATTGATAGCTGTTGCATATTTAGGGAACTTAAGAAAACTGTGCCAAATTGAAGGAGGAGAGTGTAGTAGTTGTGATAAACTAGAAGCAGCTAATTCACTGGCAATTCCTTAAAGAAGGCATCCAAAAGTGCTGGCTTGCAGAAGATGTCTTTTAAATTGGGAAGCTCTAGTTGAATATGGCCCTGAATTAAATCCAAACCTAATTCTGCTAACATGAAATTTCCATTAAAAGTCATATTTCCATAGCCCTACATTAGATTAAATTGTAGATAAGTAACATTGTTAAGTAGTTTGGCTTGTGAATTTAGATTTGATTAGAGAGAGTGTGGTAGTAGATTACAGTACTGTTTCAGGAACAAATGCAGAATGTATGCATTCACCTGTTTATTGTAAAGCTGAAAAAGAGCAATTTGAGACAGCTTCTCTTTCAGGTACAAAGCAAAATGATTCTGAAAACACTTTTTTGTTGTAACCAAGCTATAAACACAAGCTGTCTTCTCTGTTGAAATAGCATTGCTGCTCCATCACTGAAATGGGTGATCCCAAATCCACTTCCACCTGGAATGACCTTTAATTCATTAGTCAGCAGTTTCAAAGTTTGGAGACACAGTATAGATTATTCTTGAGATAGATCTCAAAATAAATAAAACTCTGAAAACTCCTCCTGTCTTAAGGTAAGTTTCTTCCTAATAATCTAGTTATGCAGCCTTTAGAAATATATCTGTTTTCCCCAGATTGAAAGTACAAAAGGCATTTCTCTTACATAATCCTAGGTGTGAACTCAATAAGGCGCAACAGAAGACTATTGAGTTGAGAGCTCTTCCTTGAGCACAGTTATAAATGGGAATAATTCTCCTTAATTTTTCTTACAGGAAAAGGATGTGACTCCAGACAGCAGGCTGCTGAGAAGAGTTAGAGAAGCTGCACTCCAGACTGAAAATCTCTCTCCTTTTATACATATGCAGACTGCCACATCTCTTACTGACTTTTTTCTTGCCCTTGCCATCTGCAATACAGTCGTGGTCTCCACAGCTACTGAGCCAAGACAGAGGGTAATCTAATTTTGTTTAAACTAAGTATTCAAGGAAATTGATCGTGCTTACAATAACAACACAGAGCACTGTTCAGGGAAACCTGAAGTGGTGAGAAATGGTTTTGTACTGGAGCTCTCCTCTAGTTCTTTTATCTTTTATGTAATGTCTACTGTTCCACTGCCTGTGTATATCCCTACCTAACAAGGCTCTTTATGTTTGATGAATAGATAGGGCTACCGCAGTATCTGTGCTTTTCCTTTTAGATTTAATAATACATTTACTGTAAGAAATATGTTGAATATACGGGGTTTTCTCTGATCTCTCAGGCCATTTTCAGAATTACAAGGGCCTTGATTTCATCTGTGTTTCAGAAGCAGAGACACAAATCACCATCAAATTCAGATGCCAATTTTCCAATGACTCCTCTACTGAATTCCCTTAACACGGTTAAAGAGAAAAAAAATATTGCTGCATTTTTTATTATTGTCATTTAGAAAAGAAAAATTTGGAGGCTTTGGAAAGTATCTTGTAGCTCACATTCATTTATTTTTAACCATAACCCAAGGTTTTCTCATATTTCTAGGTTATAGTCCCACCACCAATAAAACCTTCAGGAATCACTTTGGAGAAGATTCATCAGATATTTCATCGGCTGAAGTTAGCAAGCCTCAGCCAGTCTTTTTCATCATCTCAGTCTAGTTCAGAGCTAGGAGCTAGCTTCAGTGCAAAGAACACCGGGGAGCACCTTGCTGCGTTGGATTGCTGTGACGAGGACAATGACTGCTGTGACAGCAATAGGGGCACTGGGCTTCAGGACAAAGCCAGCACAGATATTGGCAGTGCTTCCTTGGATGAGGTTTTTAAGTCTGTTACTCATGGTTCTTTGCCAACAGACTTCTGTTACGAGGCTGAGAGTCCAGATGAGGCAGCACTTGTCTATGCTGCCCAGGCATACAGTTTTACTTTAGTGTCCCGGACTCCTGAGCAGGTGACTGTACAGTTGCCACAAGGCACACTCTTGACTTTTGATATCCTCTACACTTTGGGATTTGACTCAGTAAGGAAAAGGATGTCTGTAGTGGTAAGACACCCTCTAACCAAGGAGGTCATTGTCTACACAAAAGGAGCTGACTCTGTTATAATGGACTTGCTGGAAGACTCTGGCAAAGGTAATAAGCCAATGAGCTATTCCTGTTGTGTCTCCTACAATGACGCACAAGAAGTTTGCAGTACTCTCTTCTTCATGAAATATAATATCTAGGCATCAGGAGTATAAAGATAAGGAACAAGCTCTCAGTAGTGTTATCCTTGCAGATCAGAACTGAGGTATTTGTTTAAACTGAGTAATGCTGAGAATATGGAATGGGCTAATTAAAATTCACTGACAGCACTAACCCACGTGGGTTGTGTACTCTGCAGTAATACTTTCATACGGGCCTGACCATGGTATTTCAGCTTGTCAGCAAGAGTGCTGTAGCATTAAAAAACAACAGCAACAATAACAACAAGATAAAGTAATATCATCATAAAGGAAACAAGAACCTTTACCAATCTTCAGTTTATGCAACACACAGTGAACACTTTGAAAGGGATTGCTATTACAATGGAATCCAATTTTCAGTCAGTTGCCCATTCTTTTTTAATCTTAGGTCATTAGGTCTGAAATGATCTGTGAATAAGATGTGGAATCTTTCCCTTGTATTTCATAGCTGACACTTATGCAGAGAGGAGAAGGAAAAGAATAAAAGACAGAACACAGAAACATCTGGACTACTATGCCCGAGATGGCCTCCGAACTCTGTGCATAGCTAAGAAGGTAGGAGGACACTACCCTAATGTTGTTTACAGCTTTGCTCTATATATATCAATATATTTATTGGAAACAATGCAATGGTTATAAAACTCTGTACTTCAGAGGACAAGACAGATACAGACCATCTTTCTGTCCCTCTATTTGATTGTTTTGTAGTCTTTTTCTCCTCTCTTTCTGCAGTTTTTCAGTTTGAACAAATGATGGGTTCTTCGTCAAGCTCAAAATATTGATTTCTGTTTATCCAATGACAGCTCTGGCTTACTCTCTTTATAGTGATTTCAGGAAAGACATAGAAAGCCAACTTTCTGTTTTGCTTTGCATTCAGCTTTCAAAATCCTACCTTCAGCCTGGGATAGTGCATTTTAGCCTGATACATTAGTGCAGAAGGGGTGAGACACCCTGCAGAGCAACTTTCAGAAACTGTGCTCCAGTACAGACTCCCAGCTAAAGGCTGTGGGACTGAGTTTCTCTAAGCCATGTTTTTAATTCTTAGCCTCCACAAACAAGAATGCACATCTTTTTTTTTCTCATTGCTACCAGCTCCTGCAGTCTTCTCATGGAAAAAAATCTGTTGTTTTAAAGGCATCACAGTACTTTATCAATCCAGATAGGAGTTAAGCCTCTGTGATCCAGAATGTTGGCATTCTTCTCCTCTTATTTAAATTTAAAAAGAGCTCTTTTAAAATTATTTTATGCAGGTCTTGAATGAGGATGACTTTCAAAAATGGGCCAATTTTCGTCGAGAGGCAGAAGCTGCAATTGACAACAGAGAGGATCTGTTAATGGAGACGGCACAGCATCTGGAGACCAAACTCACCTTGCTGGGTAGCTAAAATAAGAATTGTCATTGCATGAAGTATCACTTGCTCTCCTGTGATATTCTTGGCAATCAGATAAACAGCTTATATTAAATTATATCAAAAAGGCTTCCTCTGAGGTTTGAAAATCTCAGGGCAAGTGTACACAGTCCAATGATGGTGCTTAAACAATTTATAGTGCAATTTGAGCAGCAGTAACTTTGAAAAAGTGTATCAAAACTTTCATGTGCCATGAGCAAAGAACATGTGCATCAGCTGTTAACTGCAGCTCAGCTGACATGGTAGATAATGAAGTTCCCATTATTCAGTCACATATCTGTGTCCTTAGACAAACCCATAAAACAATATATTTTCACTTCAATTTTGAGCACAAATTCCAAGGGAATTTCTGTTATAGAACTGTATTATAAAAAGCAGTAACTACAATTGTTGTCCTCTTTCTTGCTAGTGAATTCCTGCTCCTGTTACACTGTCATGTTTGCTTTCTGTATTTTGTAAAAGGTTGATATTTCGTATTAAAACTTACCTCTTTGGTATTTGCACATCATCCATCACCATAGTATCTAACAATACTATTCTGTTAAATTACAGAGGGCTTCAGGGCTTTCTTTTCTATTTTGTTTTGAAATGTTTTGCTATTTAAGACTTTGTTTCTCAGATTCATCCTGTTCTCATCTTTCTGTGAATACAATCTGTGCCCATATTTTGTTATCCTGAATTTCTATGATTGCAAGCTATTAGTGTTATGGTTTCTCATAATCTATGCAATGATTTAAAAAATTAGAGTAATAACAGTAAATACCATAAGCACAAGCATATAAGAAATAACATAGATCTTGTTAGAATGTTATCTTTGCCAACTCTTAAGGCACTGTGTGCATTCACACTTCATTTCACAAAAACTGTTATTTTAGCTAAAATTAATATCTATCTCTAATGTACCACATTTACAGCATCTTCAAACTGACCTCTAGTGGAAGAGATAAAGAGTATTATAATATTTGGGTGGTGACTTACGTCCATCTGTTTTTAAGTTGGCACATTTTAAAAAAGAATGCTTCCTGTATGTTTTCTTCTCCTTTTGATGAGTTTTGCCAAGCATCTAACTTGGCAATACGATAGCATTCATTGAAATAGTCAAAGTTCATCTTTTCTGGTTGCTTTGATGGGACTTGATGCAGTACTTTAAAAATGCATATGGTATAATTCCTCTACCAGTACATTGTCATTTTAGATTATTAGGAAGAAATGAAATGCATTGTTCTAGCATCAAGGAAAACAAAGAGTCAGAATTTGATTGACAACAGATTTTGGTCTTAATCCAAATGCAGATTTTGTGCCCGTGTGTTTATCTGCTGGACAATACCTTGTCAATACTTCATCAATACCTTGATAAGCTCATGACTGGAAGTCAAAGACCTTTTCTTAAAAAATAAATAAATAAATAAAATTGGCAAGATGATTTCCAAATATTTCCAAATGAAAGAAAACTAGTTCACGTTGTCTTTTCCTGTTTACCCAGGGGCAACAGGGATTGAAGATCGGCTGCAAGATGGAGTGCCTGACACTATTGCAGCTCTTCGAGAAGCTGGGATACAGATCTGGGTGTTGACAGGAGACAAACAGGAAACAGCAGTTAACATTGCATATTCCTGTAAGCTCCTGAACCAAAGGGACACTGTCTTCACCATAAACACAGAAAATAAGGTGAGTACAGGGGGATGCACAGAATTTTCCATCTTTCCCTTTCTTCACAGCTTTCAGCTTGACACTGATTTGCTTTAGGTTGTATTCACCACAAGACACAGCTAACCAAACTTCCACATAGCAACATTAGGCCATAAATTCTTTAGACCACATGTAACAGGATGAATTTGAACACAAGACAGTTATGTAGAATTTTATTCAATTAGAATACAAGTTTCCACATAAAAATAAACTTTTTTTTTTTAATGACCTTACTAATGAGCTTTAGCAAAAAGATAATATGCAATTTATATGCCTGATTCCTTAATAATATTGGTATTTGGCTTTTTCACTTGCAATGGAAATTTCAGTTGGTGTGATACGGTATTGTAAATCCAGGTGATATCTGTAGGAAGACATTTGGAAAGTATTATATGAGTCAGTCTGGAATAAAATGCAGGTGTAGATTTAATTAAATTCAGAACTTTCTAGTTGCATGTTCCCAAATAGGATTAGGCTCAATCAGAAATGTATTAGTGTGAACAATTTAACCTGGTGTCGTTTTGTGTAAGCAGCATTTCACCTTCTCAGAAACCTAAATATAGCTCCTGTGGGCTCGTTAAAAATGCAGTCACATTCTTGACACTCCATAGTGGCCTACATAGTGGTAGATGTGCACAGATATTCCCTGAATTTCTGTAGGCAACAAGAAGGTCAGGTAGTAAATAAAGCAAACATACTCCAAAATGAAAATAATCACTTGAGGGGCATCTTTGTCAGCTCCTATGACTCACAAAATTCAGTGAACAATCTGTGGTGTAGTCCATGGCTATTCTTGAAACCATCTGAACAGACGGGAGAAACAAACTTTCAAAGAAGGTAAATGCCATTAAGGATGGCGAAAGCAAAAAAGTTTTAAAAAAGCAACATTGGCTTTTGCAGATTGTGAAGCAACACTGGTGCCAGAGAAACCATGCCTTGCTCTCAGGAAGTGGAATGTCCGCTGTAGCAAACTGCTTCACGTAGCATTGCTCCAGACATCCTGGTAGCACAGATGACTTTATGAGACAGTTTTAGGGCAGTGCAAGTTCGGGCATCACAGCTCAATGCATTTGAAAGAAGTCAACATACCTGACCATTTCTCATGTCCAAAACGTCAGCTGAGCTGTCCTCTTTTTTGTTTTGTTGTCAGTGCCATCTTACTGTACAGCCCCAAGTGGCCCTGAGGTCACAAGGGTGCTGCTCTGTTCTCTTTTTGCAGTGTACACCTGTGACCTGTACTCAGCAGTAATGGGGGAGCTGTCATGAGAAGGCCCTTTCTGTAGGTAGTTGGGAGGTTGAGGGAGGAAGGCTGGCCCTCTTTCTGGGACTAGGCAAGTCACTTGTCTCAGTTGCCTCCATTTTTCTCCCCATTACAAGCTTGTCTTTCTCTATAAAACTATTGTGAGGATTAATTAAGTAATGTTAAAATACTGACTGTTTTTCTTTCAATAGGCAGTGGTATAGAGCAGTCAGATGGCCTACTTTCTAGCTTCTTTTGTCTGCAGCTAGTAGCTCTCCAAACAGGAATAATATGCTATGCAAATGTCTCTGTCTTTTAATAGGGAAATAGGGAAACATGCACAGATGATATGGAATTCAGCACGGAATACGTTCCTTGCTTCGATGTGTAATTTCATTTGATACGCATATCTGCTTTAATGGGAGGCAGAATGAGTATATTTAGGATGGAAATTAGAAGATGGTTCCTGTTAGAGAAGTGATGCTACAGGCAGGACTACCCTGACTCCAGGAAACACAGGCATACATGCTCACCTACAGCACCCTATGTGGCCGTCAGTCTGGACTTAGGTGCACACAGCATGTATATAGGTGCTTCTGTGAATGCATGTCATTCGGTGGGCATTAGCTTTATATTTCAATGCCCTTTAGCTCCCTCCCTTTCAAGGTGAAGCCAAGGACGCTGGTTGTGAAGAGTCCCCAAGTGGCTGCAGTGAGGGAAAACAAATAATACAAAGGGTTTATCCTTTCACAAAAGCCCATTAATTTTGACAAAGTTAACCCTTAAACTAAATATCCATTGAAGGATAAAGCCTTTGACAGAGGGTTAATAAAGGTTAATAGCTAACAAAGTGGATCCAGGTGGGAAATACCAGTGTTTCTTTGCACCTATGGTTAAGTTTGCTTTCTGTTAGTTATTCATCTTCACTCATGGCCACGTATTGAGCATGGTACAGTTCTTAATTCAAGTCACTGAAATATTTTAGTGTCTTTACCTGTTTTTCATTTTGCTGTCCAACTCAATTTTCAGCACTGTATTAAGAAATCGCAATCTTTTCTTCCATCCCCAATATTTTTATCCAACATCTTCCAGCGCTGAGGAGGAGATGAAGCTCAAAAACAGGAGGAAACAATTGTAAGGGCAGCAGTTAGGGAACTATGGTGGCTGGCTTCAGTGGGAAAGGACTCTTTCCACTCCTGAGCCGAGCAGCTTATTGAAATGCTGGAAATCATGAACCTTCCAGAAAGAGACAACACAAGTACATAGTCTGGAGAGATTTATTCAAAAATGCAAGCCTGGAATTTCCAATACAATTTTTGTTTTGTTCACAGAAAGATATTGCTGCTTCAATATTTTTTGGAGGTTTTCAGTGTGCAGGCTTGATGCAGCTTTCTATTAGGTGTCAGAGGTACATTTGATTCCAGAACCTCCCACTGAAGTGTAATTTAAATCTTCCAAACATCCTACACATGTACCTTATGCAACATAAAGTGAAAATAACATTTCAGAACTGAATCATCACTCAATAAGGCTGACAGAAAAGGTAGAAAAAGGAGTGATTAGCTCCTCAGGTATTCAGTGCCATGCTACAGAAAGAGGACTTTTAGTACGAACAGGCAGCAAAATAACTTTTAGATCATTCTGGGTTTTGTTTGATAGTGGTGTGCCGATTTAGGAGATCTGTATGGGAGAGGTAAAAGTGCCACTCTCAAATCTCTGTGTGATATTAAGGTTACTTTCATCCAAAATGAGGCAAATTTGCTAATAAGGAAAGGTTTAGTGTGTGCTTGAAGCACTGCGCTGGGCAATATGAAGCTTTAGTTATGTCCCTGTGACACACACATGACCTAGAAAAGGCCAAACTCTCAAAGTTACTAATTTTGGAAATCTGAACCTCTTGTTTCTCTACTGTAATTTATTTCCAAGGGAAACAAAGGCTGTAATATCTCACATCATTCATACCAGAGGTAGTTTTTTTTAATGTACTTTAGCAAAAAAAGTTTTGTTTCTTTTTTCCCTTCTGATCTTTTAGCACTGCAAATACAAGTATATCCTCCTGAAGTGAGGCTTTTTTTTTTTCCTTTGAAATAATTTCTTAATGCAGTTAACTAGCTGATAAAATGTGCGTTGTTTTCACTGAAGGATTTGATGTTGTCATTGAAATAATCTCCAGTCTGACGAATTAGTGCCTTTCTCAGTCAGTTTTCCCCAATGTTCATCTGATAGGCTTCAACCCACTTGCATGATTATACAAACATACGCTTTGTAAGGTGCTGTGCTGCAAAGGGAGATGGAGATAACTATTTCTAGAACCACTTCTGTTTTCTCACAGGAAACTTGTGAATCACTCTTGAATTTAACCTTGGAAGAAGTGAGAAAGAATTACGAGGTTGAAAAACCACAGAGGAAATTTTTTGACTTTATCCCAACATCTTCACCAGCCTCTGAGGAGCCCAGTCCTGAATTTGGACTGGTGATTGATGGCAGGACACTGAGTGTCATCTTCCAGGGGGGCCTGGAGGAGAAATTCCTGGAGCTGACGAGGCACTGCCGCTCGGTGCTGTGCTGCCGTTCCACCCCCCTCCAGAAGAGCATGGTGGTCAAGCTCGTTCGGAGGCAGCTAAAAGTGATGACCCTGTCGATAGGTACCTCTCTTTTGAATTTTACAGGAGAAATAGGCAGCAGGCTCTTTCAATCTGAGTTTTAAAAATGTATGGAATATATACATTGTATGAGCTATTTATTACACCTCCTCTTAGATACATACAGTGAAAAACTAGTATTGAATAGTCTTTCCTAACCAACAACCATATGAAAGTCCTCCTTCAGCTTTCAGTGAGCAAATCTGCCCCCCCCCCCCCATTTAAATAAGATGAAGATGCTCCACATTCAGTATCTCCCAGTAGTCCCTTTCAAGCACACAAGTACAAACACATGTACATGTTCCCTCTAGAATCCCCTCACTTAGGGAAGGAAAGCAGTCGATAGTAGTTACTGTTCTGTGTTTTCATAAGCCCTTTTCCTGTCAGATTTTCCCAACGGGTAGAACCAGAGTTATCCCCAGAGTAGCATTAAGCACCAGCTCCTTTGCTTTTTCCCTCCAAATACTGTGAAATGCTTTGAGTTTCCAGCTCACTGTTGTTAAGTGATCCCAGTAAAATCCTTGCAGAATTGATTTTTGTTACTTAAAACTAAAAAATACGTTTATCTGGACCAAACAAGGCATATCAGAAAAGGAAGAGTCTGATGCATTAAATTTCTTGCTTTGCCTCAGAGTTGAAAACATAAACTCACAGCCTTCTGCTTCATTTCTTTTGCTTTACCAGTTAACCTAGTTCAGAATCTCCGTGTTGCAGGCAACCATGATGGTTCTTTCCATGGAAATTTTGTTATTTATTCAACATATTGCTAAAAGTTGAAAGGAGCAGAATAACTCCTAAAATTGGATTGCTACATTGTCAATTGCAATAAAATTTATCATATAATTCGGAGAGTTCAGTGAAGTAGGGTACTGCAAAGCATGTTGTTGAGCATATGAGGCTGACCAAGCAGAAATGTACAAAATAGTGCAGATGCGGATAGTGTCGGGGTGTCTATGCCACCAGCCAACTGAATCCAATATCAGGCTTAGTGGTGGATCCAGGTCTTCTGAGAAGGAGGATGTTCCTACCAAAATCAGAGCCTAGAGGTCATGGTTGTTCGATGCTGACTATCAGTTACCCTAACTGAGATGCATGGTACAGCAGAATAGCCCATGCTTAACAGCACAGCTGCATGTTTTTTATTTTTTTAAGTACTAGTATAAGCATGTTAACCACCCTTTCTTGCGTCTTTATTGTTCATTTCTGTCTTATGCTTTCTAGGTGATGGTGCAAATGATGTAAGTATGATTCAAGCAGCTGATGTTGGGATTGGAATATCTGGCCAAGAAGGCATGCAGGTATCATTTCAGTTTAGTTCCACTCCTCTTTTGTCACATGATTTCTTTCTGCTTTGTAAGTTTCACAGCAGCTGTATAGCCTGAGTATCAACTTAAAGAGGCCGGTTGGCATTATCACTGTCATAAAAGAATATGCAGTCCATAATTAGGGGACCAGCCAAAAGGGAGTGTTTGACCCATCAATTAGCATGCGTGGACAAATGAGTGTTTGCTCATAAGTATGGAAAAAGATGTCTGTCCACTGTAGAAAGATTCTTTTTTTTTTTCCCTACAATATGCAATAGTAGAAAATTGTTTCAATGTCCATGTTCAAATTCCATCATACTAAGTGGGGAAAAAGAAATTGTAAAGTAACTTGTGTTCTTTTTACTGAAGGCTGTGATGGCTAGTGACTTTGCAGTATCCCGATTTAAGCATCTCAAAAAACTACTTCTTGTCCACGGACATTGGTGTTACACTCGCCTGGCAAAGATGGTGATATACTTTTTCTACAAAAATGTGGTAAGATGATTAAAATTATGGAAGCTTTCATCCTAGCAAGAGCTATAAACAGGACAGTTGGGTTTTTTTTCTGAGTTTTGTTCCTTATGCTCTCTTACTTTTTTATGAAACTGCAGTTCCTGTTTCTGCACTTTGCAAGTTTGCTACCTCCTTAGTAATGCACTGCATAAAGCATTGAGGAAAATATGGGATCTAAACATCTTTTGAAATAGCATTATCCTGGAGGGAAAAGGGACTGAAGGTTTAGTAACTTTTTATATGGTAGTTCTAGAAACTTTGTTAATAATACCCATGAGTCTCAAAATAAAATTTGCATTAGGAGCATCAGAATATTAGTGCTAGAATACAGAATACAACTCCACACAAAGAAATGGTTGTCAGTGAAGCCTGCTTTTTTGCATTTAATTTGATAGAAGCCACTTGCAATCAATGATGCAGTCATATCTGGCGTTTGTATTAAAAATGTAATGTATATGCAAATGAGCATATGCATTGAAGAATAACATAAAGTGGATAAAACTGATAGCACTAGTCTCTGCAAGACTGTGCAAACAAGTCAATTTGACGTGAAATATACTCAGAGCATGGAAGACTATTTACTTAGAATTCAAAGTATCCGTATTCTATATTTTTATATAATTTTGAATAAGGATTATATCTTATCCATGTTAACATTTGTAATAGAAATTGAAACTTTTCTTTTTCTTTTTACTAACCGGCATCCTTTCAGAGTTCAAAGAATATTTATTTGCAGTATGAAATAGCTCTCCAGACTGGGATGCTGCTGTTCTATTATCTCCCTGGTACCATTAGGGAGCAGGAGGCCTTTGATTCCACACTGACAGCAAACCTGTAAAAGGATTTTAAAAATCTGCTGCTCAGAGCTGTGAACAATTTGTTTACTTATTCTGTTATATTTTCTTAAAGTAACCTAACAGTTTTTATGCAGCTGTATCACAGTAGATCAGTGGGAAGCAGTCCCTTAAGATATACTGCTTTACGGAACAACATGCCGAGGTGTCTACTGAAAGTACCTTTAACCAAAATAATGAATTCTTGTGAAACTGTGTTAATAACCAATGTACTGCAGAAATTTATTAGATGAAACTAAGGGAATCACAAACTATCTATGCATTCCAAACTGAAGGGTCCACATCAGCTTTCATAATAGGGAACGATGTGATGAAGGAGGGAAGAGGACATAAAGGAGAAGCCACAGGAAACGTGTGGCTCCACAGCCTGCACAACCCAAACAGAGATCACATCAGCATGAGGGATGTGCTTTTGCACATATGGGGAACAACAGTTCAGCCTGTAACACAACATGCAATATGTTTGTATTTGCTTCTCCCACAGAGCTATGTCAACCTGCTCTTCTGGTACCAGTTCTTCTGTGGGTTCTCAGGCAACACAATGATAGATTATTGGCAGATGATTTTTTTCAATCTTTTCTTCACCTCAATGCCACCTCTGGTCTTTGGAATCCTGGATAGAGATGTTTCTGCAGAAACACTTCTGGGTTTGCCTGAGTTGTACAAGAATGGGCAAAATTCAGAGGTATGTCTTAACTGCTGAAGTAACCACTTGGTAAGACCACACGGTATTTGGGTTTGTGAGGAGGAAGGAAAGAGAAGAGTTTCAGACTCACCTGAAACCAAATGACCTATTTATGGTTTCTAGTTTGCTGATGTCCACAAAAAGAAGGTTTAATTGTTTTTGTTCACATCATGTTTAGTCACGTTTTGAAAAATCTATTCAAAGCAGTGCAAAATTTCTCTGCAGGACTTTCCATCCCTTTTCTTGAACCTCACAGGTTCAAGGAGCTCTTGAACCTCACATATATGTTCTTTATCATTTTGAAGAAGTCATTTTTGCTGCTTTGGCATTATGTCTACAGTGAAACCACAGGAGCCCACCCTTCTGTCACTCCTGTAACGTTTCTCCTCCACCAGAGCTGTGGCATCACAGGTCTCTGGATAAGTTTTTTTGTTTATTTGTTTGTTTGTTTTTACTGAAAGAAAAAAAAAAAGAACCTTAAAAGAAATAATTTTTCCCAACCCTGTTAGCCCTAGGAAGATCTGTGTTTGAAAAAGAATTTGAGGAATGAGGTCCTTTGGGTATGGACAGAGGCATTTGTGACATTGAGCTTTACAATCCCTAGCTAGTGGGCTAATCTTCCCAGAAATCTTACTGTCTTTACGTAACTCATGCCTGTTCTGGGTTAAGTGTTCTAAATCAGCTGTTCAAGGGGCTTTTGTTCATGAAGAGAGGCTAGTTAGCTATAATGAGTAGTCTGAGCAGAAGAAAAACAAACAACAAATATGTCTGCAGGACAGATCAGAGATGTGTGTGCCATCATAATGACTGTGATCTGTAAACTCCTACAGATATACAAGCTGTCAACGTTCATTATTACAATGTTTGATGCCTTCTATCAGAGCCTTATTTGCTTCTTTGTCCCCTATTTGGTAAGTAAGGTGGTCATTCATATTCTCATTCTCCAATCCGCTTTAAAAAAATAGAAAAAAAATCACTTCTGAGTAGTCAAGGTTCATCACAGTCTATCTGCCTGTTTTCTAGATGTACAAGGACTCCGACATAGATGTGTTTTCCTTTGGAAACCCCATCAATACCATTTCCCTCCTGACCATCCTCTTGCACCAGGCTCTAGAAATTAAAACATGGGTATGTGTTTTGCCTGTCCCATTCACATAACTTTTTTCTTTTCTGCACATAACATACCATATAGCCATAGAGTTTTCTTTCAGAATCATTTACCTTAATTGTGGGTAGTACATGCAGTGAGATTTCACAATATGTTAGAATTTATTATTAGCCTCAGGGTAATAGCTTCATGAGCACAGAAACAAAATTTGCTCCTACTGTGCCTTTGGACTGGGCAGTACACAACCTTTACATACTTCAGTATATGAGCAGAACATATTACCTCAAGAACTGTATTCACTGTCACTGTTGGTTTGTAAGTTAATTTCCAGGTATTTCTCCAGCTGCACTCTTCAGTAATATGGATCCATTGGATACCTCCTTTCTAGTTATTCTTTCTGTCCTGCACCCAGAGTCAGGGCCTCAGTTATTTTGTACTCTTGGTGCTTACAGACATTGTTCCACTGGATCACGATAATTGGGAGTGTGGTGATTTACTTCGTCTTCTCTCTGATCTACAATGCTGCCTGCGTGGTCTGCAACCCTCCCACCAACCCCTACTGGATCATGGAGAAACAGCTTTCAGAACCCACCTTCTACTTACTCTGTCTTATCACCCCAGTCATCGCACTCTTGCCAAGGTTTGTGCAAAGCACCATTTTCCTCAGTTTTCGTTTGGGGAATTTGTAGGTGTTTGAGGGAAATAACAATAACAATCAGAATCACAGAATATCCCGAGTTGGAAGGGACCCATAAGGATCATCAAGTCCAACTCCTGGCACCGCACAGGTCTACCCAGAAGTTTAGACCATGTGACTAAGTGCACAGTCCGATCACTTCTTAAATCCAGACAGGCTTGGTGCAGTGACTACATCCCTGGGGAGCCTGTTCCAATGTGCAACCACTCGCTCGGTGAAGAACCTCTTCCTGGTGTCCAGCCTAAACTTCCCCTGCCTCAGCTTAATTCCGTTTCCACGGGTCCTATCACTGGTGATTACAGAGAATAGGTCACCTGCAACTCCACTCCCCCTCAGGAGGAAGTTGTAGACTGCGATGAGGTCCCCCCTCAGCCTCCTCTTCCCTAGGCTGAACAGGCCCAGTGCCCTCAGCCACTCCTCAGTCTTCCCCTCTAGGCCCTTCACCATCTTTGTCGCCCTCCTCTGGACACTCTCCAACAGTTCAATGTCCTTCTTGTACTGTGGTGCCCAGAACTGCACACAGATATGTCAGGCACATACATGTATGTTGTGCAGAGATCAGGCTGGAAGTCTGGGTTCAATTTTCCTGTTCATGAATCATTAGTTTATTTGGTCATATAACACTAGTTAAGTCTCTATACATATATTGCCTTTGTTTTCCAATCAGAAAAAAACTTTCTTTGTGGGGTGTTTCAAAGTTTAAATCCTTTATGTAAATGTTCGCTATGACAAACACAATGTAGTAGAGCAGATCAAAACCAGAAAGCTAGTCTTTGAAATACGCCTGTATGATTTAAAAGTTACAAAACATATCTTGTTTCTTCGGTACATTACAGTGTATTATTAAGCCAAATTTAAGAACACCTCTATATCAAATACTTTTCTACATCTGGAGTCTTGGTTTTACTCTTTGTGATCAATCAGGTATGTTTAAGTTAAAGTTGACTTAAACTTTAACTTAACTGAGACTAAATGATATTTGGGGGAGAGATAATTGTTCTGGTAGCTTCCTGAGAAAATTTGGTTTGAAAAACATGATCCTGTTCGCATATATGTATGTAGTAACCTTACTACTTCAGTGCTTAATACCTCATTCATTCTTTCAGCAGGTATGCTTTGTCTGACTTGCACCAATTTTAAAATTTAAATTTAAAACAATTTAAAATTTTAAAATTTTATTTCTGCTTCAACAATTAAAGAAATGATTCTGTTTGACTAACTTGCTAGTCTCATTCTCATCTTAATTGTCATGAAGTAGTACAGCATGCTGACATTGAAAGAATCAGGAAAATATTTTCATCATCTGATTTTGTAAATGCTTTTAAGTATTGTAATTTGAGCCTTAGCTTTGTCTAAAAAGTAATTTTTCAAGACCAACTAATATTTCTCTTCAAATTATTTTTATTGCCCCAGTTGAGATTTCTTTGTGATTTCACGTTAGATTATATAACTTCAGTTCAGAATAAACAACACATGGTTCAGTGAGGTCTCATGTCTTCTAGGCAGAACATTGTTTTTCCAGATTTTTTTCTTCCTTTCAGCCCACATTCCCAGTGTCATTTTTGACCCTGAGTTTTCTACTCAGGGCTGCATCAAATATGTGGTTAAGAATTCAGAATTCCATCTTGGGAATTCATCAAGGTGAAGATTGTTGGTACCACAACAAAATAGTGAGCTTACGGATTTGTATCTTGATATCTTCAAAGTTGGCGAAATGCTGTTCTACCATGTAGGTAACTCAGATTATTTTCTGCTGAGTCCTTCATTCAAAGAATACCCAGCCTCCAGTTTCTGCTACTGTGTCTGGCTGACAGTTTCTGGCTGTGTCAGCATATGATAGCAATGGTGAAACCACCCTTTGTTAAATATAGTCCTGCACTTAAAACTGGGTTTCAGCTAGTTCATCTCACCACACTCCCTGTTCCTCATTTCCCTTAGAAAGCAGTTGGAGCCTTGAGATTCTGTTTTTTTTTCTACGAGGTTTTGTTAAAATCCTTGCTGTCCTTAGTTCTTCCTTTTACAACTGCCTCCTGCACTAGCTGACATTTCTGAGACACTGCAGGTGCCCATGTGGCTTGTTTACACCCTGCCTACATACATGCTTGTCCTGAAGCACTGTCTGGCAGCACTTTGCAGTGTGCATCTGCATCTGAACATTGCAAGGAATGCCCAGAGTCCCAACAGGTTGCTGTCTCCCATTGCAAGGCTGAGGAAAGGGTGGGAGCAAGCAAGAGCAGTTTATGAGATGGAAGATGGAAGTTAATGGGAAGTTCTCCTTCCTTTCTCTGTGGTTGGCCTTGAGTTCTCAGTAGTTGTGCTCTGCTGCCCAGCTGTAACTAGCAACAGCACAGCTCCCAGTCCTGGGTCCGACCAGCCTGAGCATCGGCACAGTAAATATACGTTTTTCCATTCCTGTTTACACAGGTAGACCTGAGAAGTCCATTCCTTTAAAAGCCCATTCTGTGTTCAGTATAGCTTGTTAGTGTTTTTAATGTTGTCATGCTTATTTATGCATATATTTAGCAGCAAGATGTGAAGATGACACCTTTATTAATGCAATTTCAGAGAGAAATTAAAACAAATTTCATGTTTGTTTTAAATATTTATAAAGGCTATGTAGGTAAAGGTCAAACCCTATTAGAAATGGTGCCTGAAAAAGGCTTTGCTTTTCAGATAAGACAGACATGACATGGAGCGAAGGTTTGTAGTCGCTCACTGCACACTATATATAGTTATATAAGTTCTCTGTCCTGCATTGGCAAGTTGGACATATTTTTTAATGCTTCTTGAGCAAAGACGATGTTTTTAATTTTTTTGTGTGTGTGTTTTCTATCAAATTAAGGTCCCTTCTTTAGTCTGTTCCAGCAGTATAATCTCAATCTCCACAAATACAGAACCTCTCAGTGAGCTTCTATGTATCTTTCCTGCACTGATCAGCAATCAAATAGTTCTATTAACATTCATTTAGCATTTATTTACTTGTAGTTGACTCAATGAGGTCAAGGTAAGTGTGTTGTTACATGGTGCATTAACATCCAAGAGCCAACTTCCACCTACAAGGCATAAGGTATCTATCAGATGCCTTTAGAGTACTGGAAAATTAGCAACACGATTTGTGTCATATGATGCAGATGATAGGAGGAACCCACTGCTAAGACAATCCATTCTCTTCCTCTTTCATTAGGTTCTTTATTTTCGCTCTGCAAGGAACCTTTGGAACATCTCTGATACTGAAAGCTCAGCAGCTAGATAACCTTCCAAAAGAGCAACAGGATCTTGAAATCCAGAAACTGAGGTCAAGAAAACAAACAACTTCTGATGCACCTATAGCATCACCAGCATCTAACGATGATCTCGACCAAAACATCAGCCACTTATGTTTGTCACCATTTTTACATCCAGCAGCAGAAACTGTATCTCCCAGAGACACAAAAAGTCAGGGACTTTCCACCTCTGAAGTGAATCCTCTCAAGAAATGGACACCTGAAGAAGGCTACTATTTCTTTAATAGGTGGACAGAGGAAGAATACACTGCTACAGAATCTTCAGCAGGACCTTTCTCTGGTCATTGCCCCCTAGTACCCAGTAGGGTAACATCTCCCGGACAGGACAGTGGCAAACCAACTAAAGATAAAGGTAAAAAAAATAACCATGGAAGCCATCGACGCTCTGTGAGTGCAGTGACACTCTGAAAAAGCATTCAGAAGTGGTTCATTTTCTGGATATGGTATCTCTGCTGTGCAGCCCATGTGGAGAAAGATAGCATAGGGAAAACAAAAAAATCCATTTATACTTAATCATGATGCTCACTACAAAAGGAGAGAGGCATGTGGATTTACAAACCTGCTGGAGTAGTGCAATAGGATGTCTAATATACAACTTCTGTCGTTGGGGTTTGTCATTCAATGACTTTTTGATCTTCCTGGTTTTGTGTCATTAGAGATAAGATACCTAAGCTTCATACAGTTGCCGAGAGATCCACAATTACTTTCTTTCATCTGGGAGTATTTTCCTTTCACAGTAATAGTGAATAATTGCACTAGTGATGTTTCAATGTTGTTATGGTATTGAGGTAATAGAAAGAGAATCCATTCAACATTAAGCCAAGTCTTAGAGCAACACATCCTACTCTAACCTTTAATATCAAAGTCTTAATATGATACTGCTAATTTAAAAATTACAGTCCTGCCAAGAAAAAAAATAAAAGTCTTCTGGTGCTACAGGTAGTTCCAGAATCACAGCATCTGAAAGAGACTACAGAATGTTCCATTTTTTAATACGTAGGCTTTATTCACATAGCAATATCAAACAACATCATGTCTATAGTTTGCTTTCCCTGCACACTAAACTCTGTGTTTTTATGCAGGCAGTGTTCTGACCTGATACTTTTAAGAAAACAAGAAAGCAGTTTATGAAATAGAATGCAAATACAGGACTACAAGAACTGGCAGGATAACTTAAGGATAAGTGGAGTCTAATTCTTCACCTTCAAAAGCAGACAGATATAACAAGTCTGATTTGAGTATTTATGTTCCAGATTTCAAAAATTCTCCTTGATTTTTCATCTGGAAATCAGCTTCTTCATTTCATTTCCTACATTAACTAGAACGTGTTGCTGCATTCAATCAAGTATAAATATGCTCTTCCCCACAATGAGTTACAATCAGTAGTTGATGGAGATCCCAATGACAGTTATTTTAACAAGCAGTTAATGAAGGTTCACTAATCACATTGCAGTAAGTACATGATGTAGAATGACCAAAATATGCATAACATGTTCATCCTTTTCATTATCACAGGACAACAAGGTTCCAAAAAAAAAAAAAAAACAATTAAAAAAAATTAAACGTCACCCTTACCACTACCTATTGCAATGCAATTATTAAAGGTGGCTTTAGTATTTCTTATAGAAATGTTGACTGCTATGATCATATCCCAGGTTTTTCTCCACAATGTGGGGTAAAATCTTAGCCATGTTTTAAACTCAAGCCATCTGTACTTTTGTGAGTCTACCACTGGTTCTGATTTAAGTATGTGTTTAGCTTTTTATATGTATGTTATTTTAGCTATTTGCCACCTATCACAATGTATGAAGTTTGTTTAATATCCTATTTAGCAAATACTAATTTACCTTCTGTATGTTTCAGTACCGTGACTAGAGTCCTCAAGATGTTACTTTAAAGCAACTCAGGCAAGACTGTGTAGCGTATCCACCACTGGGATTTCTGGTAGCCAGAGCTATACATAGAACTGTAATTGATAAAGTATTAATTGTCAGCTGTAAAGCAATTTAGAAAAAGATTTTTGCATTATGTACAAATGAAGGGAATTAGGCATAGCTGAGATTATTGTTAATGGGGTGTGAGATTGCTCAAATGTTTGCTCACTAGCTGGTAATGAACGTTGGGTGACATGACTTAAGATCAAGTCTTTATGATTCGCAGCCATGTTTTTACATAAAATGGTCCATTTCATCTGAAATTAAAGAAGATGCCTGTTTCTTATTATATATTTTATTACAAAATGTGAAGGTTTTTTATCATAATAAAATGTAACATGGTTTGACTTGGTGTGTTGTTGGGAGTGAGACTTACACTAAAACAGAAGCAGAGAAGTAGTCTTCCTCTTGTCACCCAGAAGTGGCAAGACAATGTTTCAATCAGGACTCCTCTATCTACTAGGCCATGCTGTAGGGGTGCTTATCAAAAAGCAAGAGGACTGAACATATATGGAAAGGGGCCATGGACAGACAGATTATGTTTAATCACATCTGGAAGACCTGTAGAGGTTCCTGAAATCAAAGCTGAGAATTAATTTCATGTTTTCTTAACACTGCTTCTGCAAAATTATTCTACTATGCATTTTGCCTAAACAGCTGGTCTTACATTCAGAAATAGTGTATAACTGAGGGTGTTTCCTCTTTAGAAATGAGGGGAGGGAAGGAAGGATTGCTTGTGGTCTCCATCAGAACAGTCCCTGAAAGCCCTAAGCAATGGAGTCTGTGCTGTTTCAAGTGATAAACAAAGTGGAAGACAGTCCACCTCTAAGTAGCTTCTAGGCTACAAGCAAAAATATTTACTTCAGGCAAAAGATGGAAAGGAGCAAAATTTGAATAGATGCCTCAAGTAGTTTTACAGACGGATGAACAGCTTCTGTTGTGTGGTTGATGATAACAAAATGGTCCGATAGATTCATTCACCTGCAGAGTTTGCAACACAGAGGAAACACATCCCTGAACCCCAAGGAAGGAGAAATCTGAAACAACCAGAAACAAAGGCAGCATTAGGGAAGACCTGGCCTCTGCATCCCATCTGGTTCTGCAGCTTTGTAAAGCTCTCACCTAATACATCTGCTGGGTGACAATGCTACCAGTCCTTCTCTGAAGCAGGTACTGCCGTAGTTCAAGACCTGTATTCACTGCTAAATAGTGTGATCTCTCCTATGCTTTTGGGTAAGCAGTGATGGTGAACTGTCACATGTTAGGAAGAGAGTGAACAGGCACATCCCTTTGATCATGAGGTAAATTAGCTGAGATTATCATTCCCTTTGGGGAGTGGCATCTAGATATAAAACACTATATACTTTTTTTCAATTAATGCAAGCCTACTATGACAAACCAAGTCCTCCAATGTATTTGTTTGCAAGAGAGGAAGTGTGTTTACTAAATGGGTTATTTAGACATAACTGGTTTAAATATCTATTTCAAGATAGCTTTTTATTTCAGATGCATTTAGTATTACTGTCAAGATACATGTTTCATTCGTATTAATGTGAATGCTTCACAATAGAACAGGTGTCTTGCATTTTAATACATGTTCTGGTGATATTCAATGTTCCATATGCTTGGACTATAAAAGATTAAAATCAATGTATTTTGTGAAATCAGTGCATACTTTTTTATTTTGGTCTATCACATTATCATAATAATAATGCTGAACAGTGCTTTGAGCTATACAGAGCTATACCTATATGACAAACTGAAGGTGACATCTCTTATAGAGGTGAACAGGAGTAACATGCAATCCCAGGCTGCTTGCCTGGGATTCAGTGTAGAGTCATCCATCATGTTCTCAACAGAGATGAGTTGTTTGTTTTAATACAAGGAGTAAGAAATGAACACCTATCTCTACACTTTGTTCATTTCTGTTTTAGCACAGCAAGGTGGATATTTGGTCCTTGACAGTTACAACCGGTATCCATTTGACATCAACAATATCTTCAGTCTAAAATCAAGAATTAATCAGGTGAAGTAGGGGGATGGATCTACTTTGTTCTCTTATATGTCTCAAAAAAAATAATAATAATAATAAAAAAGCCTTTAACACTCTGTAACACTGAGGCAGATGTGCATAATGCTACAGCACCAAAAAAAAAAAATCTTTTCCCAAGGATGAATTATGTATATTTTGCCACTTTGTTGGCTGATGCTACACTGTTTAAATTCATTTGATTGCAGTTTGAGGTGGTTTGCAAGTACTAAGCTATTTGCTTTAGGCATAAGGTGACTGCAGGCAGGACATGGCATGATTAGGTACTTGTGAGTAGCACTGATGAATGAGGCTGAGCACAGAAACAAGAGACGCTTGAAGATAATGATCACAGAGGGTGGGATTTAGAGAGCTGACCAAATAACACTGAAGATCTGTAAAGTACTTTTGACATTGCCAGTGATTGGAACTTGCTGCAATTATCAGAACATGAGACAACTGTGAACAGAACTTGCTGCCTGGCTCTTATAATGTAACACCTGATAATTCTCAGCTACATAAACAAGACTGAGACTGAATACAGATTCTGAATAGTTATTTTTCCAAAAACACTGGAGGGGCAGCTGTCTGCTGTCTGAAGGCATTGAAGATGATGGTTATCCACCTTCCCAAGTGCAGCTACTGAAATAAACTCCCACCTGCAGGCATACTTTGTAGGTTTCTTTCCAGATTAGTGCCCAAAAATCTTGTGTGGTTATTCTGTACTTAAACAGGTGAACAGAGCTCTGTAAATGGTCATCACTGTAACTAAAAGATCAAGTTTGGGCTCCCCTGAAGCTGAGTTTTGCAGTTGACTTCACAGAAACCAAGTTATTTGCTGCTTTTTTGTTGTTGCCATCGGTTCAACTCCACAAAGCTAAGTCTGAGATCTCTACGGGATTTGGGAGCAGCAATTTAACACCCCATTGCTGCCAGCCCTGGGTGCTATTTCACTGCTGCAGTTTATTGCTTTCATCATGAGGGCAGCACAGCAAACACAAACAATCTCTTCAACTGCTTCAGATAACCCTGACAAGAAACTTAAATCAGAGACCTCAGTTATGCTTTCAGCTGTTCAGATCTTGTTCTCTTTGCATGCAGTCCCTGCAGGGGAGTTACAAGAGTTTGAAGCTAACCAGAAAGCAAAGCTGGATTCTGATGTTGAACGTATTGGTTTAATGGCTGCTATACATATGGTCTGTACCAGATATTTTAGTCTTCGAGGGCATCATTCTTTGTGTGTGATGGTGGACATCTGTGACATACCAGTGGTTTGGGGGGGGCATCCAAGATTTCTTTTAGATTCCAGGATTAATTAAGTAATCACTCTTAAATGTAAATTGAGTAAAAACAGGGAAGAAAGGGGAAAAAATGTATACTTGGAAAGCAAAGATAAAAGGATTGTTCTATTCTTCTCTACTGCAGTTGGCTCAGTAGTTGCAATTGATTGACTGTTTAAGACCTTACAATTGATTCTTAAAGGCCTCAGTGTCTCTAAGACCTTAATAACACCGGTGCATGGATTATCACTTGCTCCTATTTCCTGTGAGCCAGCCAGACCTCTGGTAAGTTTTCCCCAGAATGTTTTCACCACGCTCGAGCTGAATGTAATCTTCCTGGCAGTTAGTACCAGGGGCATCACTGCTGATGGCTGGGTTGTTGGTCTGCTGGCCAGCTGATGGTGAGTCTGAGTCCACACCAAGAATACATGGCTGCTTCTTTTGTGCCTTTCCATATGCCCTGTTGTCAGTCCTGTCAAACAAATTAAACATAGCTTTGGTGCTGGTGATAAGCTCATGCTCAGCTCACATTCCCATTAGTTGCTGGCATATATCACCATCCTTGAGTTTGTACAACACTTGCATTCATGCAATCCCTTTATCTCTGTGTGCCGAGTCTGCATTGTCATTCATATTTTAAAAAAATTTACCAGGTGAAGGGTGAAACCACCAGGCCACAGTCTGTCATGGTAGGACATGTGTCAACCTACACAGTGTAGTAATTCATCGTGATGTAGCCGTGAATTCTGCCCTGTGAAAGCACCCTAGAGGCAGCTCCTTCTTGATGGGCTGTATCTACTTGAGTTCTACCCTTGCCTATGCAGTACCTGTCAGCATCCACAGAAACTCAAATGGAAACAAGTTCTTATTCCAGAACACTGAAATAAAATAAAATAAAATAAAATAAAATAATAAAATAAAATAAAATAAAATAAAATAAAATAAAATAAAATAAAATAAAATAAAATAAAATAAAATAAAATAAAATAAAATAAAATAAAATAAAATAAAATAAAATAAATATAAAATAAAATAATAAAATAAATAGTAGCTGATACATTGGAAGATGAATACAGACACAGCTGGTGCCTTCCTTTTGTATGCTGATATTTCTCCATATTGTATTATCATTCTGTTTAACCTCAAACAGACCAGCTTGGAAACTCCTGTATATTTATTAGTTTTATTCAAAGAAGCACAAATGCAAATCAGTAGGCTGCAAACAGGTCAATAGAGCTCACTTAAAATCAGCTGGATTCAACTGCAGTTTTATTAGAGCCCATCTTGTTTTTTTAATACTTTAATTGTAAGGACTTTTACCAGGAAAAATAAACATCTATATGTGCTTCATCTGAATGGTTCCTCTTTCACAATGTTTAGGCAGCCTATGCCCAGCAATGTCATGGTCTAAATGAACATCTGAAGAGGAGAGCACATTTGACAGAGCAGGAGATGGACTCGATGATCTTGAGGTCTCTTCCAACCTAGAAATTCTGTGATTCCTAAGTACCAAATTAGGAATGCATCCTAGTGACAAAGGAGGAACATGAACATGTCTAGGGCTTTCAGGAGACTTCCAAAGTCCTTAAATGACTTTTAGGCATTTTTCAGAGGTTTCTCATGTCTTGAGTGTCTGTCTAGCATACCTTATGAGTAAAATGTGTAAAGTATGCATCTGTGTATGTTTGGGATGTGTGGAGGACTGTGAAGAATCACCCCAAATTTGTAGTAGGCTAAAATGTTTCTGCTTTTAATCTTGTCTTGAGAAGAGATAATGTAAAGGTTGAAATATGACCTCTCAAAAATTTTGAGCATATATATTACGGGAATTTTTTACAGTTTTACAGTAAGCAGGGAATATAGCCCAAAAAACATCACAGAGCCACAACTGTGCTTGCAGATCTTAACTCTTGGATTAAATAAGGAAAAAAAAAAAAAGTACAGCTCAAAGCACACACCACATAAATGTTTAGAATCCTAATACTGATTTGGAAGGCAACTTGTGCACCAGGTGCACATTTGACTTTTAAAACAGACT